CTGCTCTCAGTCTTCGTTTGAGATCAGGCCTCGCTAAGGGATGAGCTTCACCACGGTCCCGCTGCCCCGGTCCTACACCACGGGCTCTTACAGCACGTCGGTTATACATACGCAGGACGCCATGGCTGGCATGCGTGTGCTAGCGCAGGGGACAGGCTGCCGTGCAATGCTGAAAACTGTGAGAGTGAGACAAGAGCCAACTGTGTGTCTCGTTCTCAATGTACAAGACTCGGGAGGTCTGCAAAGAGCAATTTGATCAATTCTTTTTCCCCCCTACTCGTAGGCTTTGTATCCATTGATCACCTGCCTGTTGTGTGTCAGTCAGAAACAGTTTTTTTTAAATAACTGGCACGTTTTCCTGCAGAACTGTTTGTCACATCTAAAGGTAAGAATCCTTTTCAATTCAGGAACTGTTGCAAATCGATAGCATTTATTCCGATAATGTTCTCGTCATTCTCGTGCCAAATAAACAATCCATATTTGGCTGTTTAAAAGGACACTGTGAAATATTTTTATTTTTTTTATTAAATGTCTTAAGTCTCCATTAGTATTAAACTTAGTAGTAAGTTTTTGTGATGCTCTGTAATGCTGGAAATAGATGTGACCCCTGTGGGAGACTATCCGTTTTATTGAGTAAAGTCTGCAGAAGTATCTGCTGGTAAATGCTATTTATGCCAGAGAAAGTACAAACTGTATTTTTTCACGTGCAGATTATATGTGAGAAAATAAGCGGCTTGTCTACTTCTCTAAGTGGAATGTATAATAATTGCAAAATTTCTCTCTCCTGTTCACTTATTGAAGGAATAGAAAATGAATTGAGAGTCTAGAAAAGAGATTATGTTTACACCCTGTGATATGTATTTTTCAAATAAGAATTACAGTGTCCCTTTAACTCCTGGCTTCAGTTGATAGCATTGTAAACATGAGTTGATTGATAAAGAGATCAAGATACTTGAAATTAGGGATTTGTTTTAGTGACTTTCTTGTAGCATTAATTGTTTACATGTTCTTTCCTTAATTTTAATTAACATAGTTCATGATTTTGCCTAATGTATTGATTTTGATAATTTTAATAAATTCTTTGATCCACCTTCACAATATTCACTCTGGTTAGGTATGAGTGACAGTTTCGAAGCTTATTAGTAAAATACATAAACCAGCATGAAGTCAAAAGGAAACAGGTTTAGCTGCTTGGATTGTTTTTTAAGGGTCATTTTGTTTTCATGACATCTTTCATACTTTTCTGTTGCTTGTTGGGTTTTTATATATTTTTCATCTAACATTGCAGTTCTTTTGCAGTATTTGCCTTTATTTTTGTTTTGTTGTTTATTTTGCTTATGGAGGCTGCTTTTGCTTTTGTTTTTAAAGCTTTTAAAAAAAATCTTACAATCTAGGATTTGCATTTTTCTGGCATAATGTCCATTGCTGATAATGGATGTATTAAAAAATATAAATGCCAGTGAGTTTAACTGGTAGTTGCTGAGCATGCATTTTATATTTTACTTAGTTTTGTTAACCACTAACAGCTTAACACATTTACTGTAAGGCTCTATTCAGCAGAAATTCTACATATGAATTTCTGCAGTTCAGAATTAGCAGTGTTATGATGCTGTGCCATCAGTGAGTTATTTAGGATGTTTTATGGCTTGGTTTAATTTGACCCACCAAATATTATTGGTTTTTTGGGGTGCCTACCTTGTTCGGAAACTTTGTTGAGATTAATTTTGAAAAACACACCCCCACTGTCCTCATGTGTCTTATGAATTCATGTATTCCTTTGTGAAGCTAATTAAATGCATGCACTCTGTAATAAGTAATCTCATTAATTTATAAATCTGAATTTCACAGCACTTTAGTCTTTTAGATTTTCCCTTCCCCATTTTACTTCCTGATTTCCTAATGACTAAAGTTATTTTATATACAGTTACCAAAATATGTTAAGTGCAATAAGGATTCCAAATCCATTGTCTCTGGTGTCTTTATCATTTAATAAAGTAATTTTGAGAGTTACTGGGAGATACTTCAGAGTACTGGGAAGGTTCATCCACCCCTACTGTATTAGTTAAAATTAACAAATTAATGATTGAAATAACGACAGCACTTAGACTGTGTCGCAGGGATGTTCTATGAAGCGTACAGGCCCATTAGCAAGTCACCAAGAGGTAACGTAGGTCTTGGATTCATGATGCCCACTCCATTCCCTGGTGACTGCCCAGCACAAGCTCTTACCTAGCAGCAAACACCACGTGGGCACGCTTTGGTCACAGAAATAAGCAATTTCCCATTTGCCATGATGTGAAAGCTCACATTTTTGCAGTTGCTCCGTTGTACCTGATGCGTAGTATATTCTTACCCTGCCTTACCCCGCAGTATTTCGGTGCCACGTCGTGCTTGATAATGCTCCTGAGAGTCCTGTGAATCCTAATCCAGTACTAGCAATATTTATAGCCCTTCTAAACTCTTTCTGCTGGGTGTCAGTGCACACTGCCTTCAGTTATCCTCAAAGCAGGCTTATTGTATGGGAAAATCATCCTGGCCTTGCTGGAAGGAGGAAGCCTAGGGGCCTGCACCGGTGGAAATAGCGGAGAAGTGAGTCGTAAGAGTCAGGTTAGACCAGGAGTGTACCAAAGGGTTTTTCTTGGTACACGTATAGCTGGCCTTCTCCCACAAAGCAGTTGGGATGCTGTTCCAGCATTAAGCCCAGCAAGGCGTTTCTTTACGCACTGTAAATCCTGAATTTGTTCAGCGGGTAATAACACTGGGTCAGTATTGTAAACCGTTTTTAGTCAGACTAATTATAGCAGTTTGTCAGAAAGCTGATAGATTCTTGGGTGAAGTTGAGTCGCTGTGGTATCCTTACCACCTCTTCCAGGGAGAGGAAAGCTGCTGAAACGGGAGAGAAAAGTGTCTGTCATTCTGCACCACTGTTGGGTGGAAAAGAATAATTTTTTTTTTCTTTCACAGTTTAACCTTAGTGTCTGTTACCACAAAACCTTGAAAGTTGGAGGAACGTTTTCTGCCACTATAGCAAAACCTGTATTTCTACTGAATAGAGTCCTTACTAGTCAGCTATCTGTTGGTTTTGTGCTTTTTTTCATCTAACATGCATGTGCCTTCCATTCTCATGTTTGTTATGTTTTGCTGTCTCACATTGCTTTATTTAGATGCCATCTAACAACAGTATCAGAAAACAAATAGAAACACTGCAGGTGAGTTAATATGTTGTTATAACTCAGTGAAACGTTGCTTTGTCTCATGTAAATACTTTGTTCTGTTTTTTTTTTATGTTAATTGTTGTATTTTGTGCTTTCCTTTCTTTGTAGAAGTGCTGTTAGTACTGTTAAGAAGCAGCAGGACTAAGAATAGCTGATGTTTCAAAGATCTTTTTTTCTTGCCAGGGAGTAAAGATCAGAAAATTATCTAATATCAGTTTTTCCTTGGGGGTGAAAATGTGGCTTTGTGAAATTGAGTATCAATATCACGGCTGGTTTCCCCGAACAGCAGTGCATGTTTCCACTGGAAGTAAACTACCTATTCAGATGTATGATTTTTTTTTTCTGTTAATTCATTTCAGAGTGTCTTGCATGCGAGCAAACTTGAAAACATTTTCACAATAAAAAAAATGTGTAACTGATTTACTATAACAACTTGCAGTGCACTAACTTGAAAGACTTTTACACTGTTGGTTTTGCAGGTTTTAAAAAGTAGAAATTGTTTTAGTTCAGAACAGAAGAAAAGTTTAACATCAGTATTAAAAAGTACTTTCTTCAGTAAGTGACTACATTTGACTAACATGGAAAAAATGCTATTTTGTTTCTTGCCTTCATTGAGATATGTTTCATTGACTCATCTTAATGTGTCATGTAAGAACACTGTAGATTTGCTCTTACTTCTTTGGTTTTGTAACAGAATACAGTTCTTGACAGCTTATTCCATAGTCTACTGATACAATTTATAATAAAAGTTTTAGGATTTTAAACAAAACGATTTGGAAAAAACCCAGATAGAGTGCTTTAAAATCTCGCAGGCATCAGCTAAAAAGACTGAAATTCAGTCAGGTTGGTGAATTACATAGTCATATATACTGTATTCTAGTTGCAGTAATCTGAAAGAGAAAAGGAAATACTGACATACTAACACCAAGTATAGCGCCATAAATTAGGCAGAAAAAGCCATTTTCTTCTAGCATACTTTTTTAGTTCCTAGTTATAATCTCTTACTATAACTTAATTAAAATTAAAATTTTCAGTGCTTAAGAAATTAGAAGTACTGTTGTATTTATTTTGTAACCCTTTGTAAAAGGTTACTGCCTCCTTATACATTTTTTTTTTTAACTAGGAAGCAAACTTTGTCATAACTCACCAGAAGTAGCTGTATTGGATGATAAACCTCCAAACAGATGGAATGTTGTTAACACATTGTAAAAATCTGCTACCTGTACCATTTTTTCAGTAGTAAATTTTTGGTTTTCTTCTGGACCTGTAAATTAAGCTGCCCTTTGGAATATTGGAAATAAGAAAATGGAAGCATTACTCAGTTCTAGACACCACATTTCAGATAGGTTTTGATAATGCGCGTACTAATGAATTCACCAGCCTACTTTGAACACCAAGAACTGTTAGCCTGCCTGTAGATTAAATGTGATGAGTAATAATATCATGGTTTTTTGCTGTTTAAAGTTGATTAAAATCAAATCTATCACAGTCTCACCCTGTCATACAGTTATGAGCGTTTGCTTCTTCCTCACTACTGGTAAATTAACTGGACAGTGGGACAGTTACCTGTCTGAATACTAACCAGGGACAGGTGTAACTTTTTACTGGTTACATTCTGTCCAGATCGGCTTCCAAAATTTACCCACCAGTATTAGTTGCAGGTGTGCTAATTCAGAGGCGACGGCAGGATGACATTTATAAGTGTGCAGTAGAACTGACATAGACATGGGTTAAGTTACTCCTGCTAATATTCTGATAAACAGTCACGTACGTTATTTGTCTTTGAAGTACCACTTTTGCCTCTTGTGATTTGGTGATAGGCTTTTAGCCTTTCTTAAAGTAAGCTGCTGTCAAAACCAATAGTCCCAACCCACTGGTGTTAAAGCCATCCCAATTACTCTCTCCTTTATATACTCTATAGCTCAGACAAGGCTGTGAAATTATTTGGATCAACTCACTGGTGTGAGTTGGACTTTCTTATTGCTAGAGTCCATGCAGAGGGAGCAGTGAGACTGCAGGGGAGGGAACCAAGGATGTGACCATCTCTTTTTGAAGAGCGTGGTCTGAGATCCACTCACAGTCTTTGTGAAATTGCACTCCGCTTGTCCTGGGAGGACAAAGTTCTCTGCTGTTCTGACTCAGTGGCTTCTGGTAGAAGCCACAACATGTGAAATTGGTTAGGTCGAAGCCATCATGTAGATATGTCTTGAAACAGAGAGATTTCACTTGAGTGTGTTTTGGGAGTTCTTTTGTTGGTTTTTTTTGTTGCTTTTGTTTGAATTTTCTTGGTTGGTGGTTTTGGGTTTGTTTTTTTTTTAAACTGAGAGAATGCCTAAAAAGATAACACCTGGGAATAATTTTTTTTCTGTTCATAACCTCATACTTATGACCAATTCCAAGAATCTTGCTGGACGCTTCAAGATTATAAATGCACCAAGAATTCCTAGTCAGAAAACTTGGTACTGGAGTCGGTACGAAGAATGTTAGTTGCTGTTTTACACAGTTTAAGAGCTAGGAGGAGCAAAGCTAAACTCCTACTTGCAGATTTAAGACAAAAAAAAAATTATTTTTCATACAGTGCATAAATTAAGCTGAATTATGCCACAAGTTTTTGTATTAATTCAAGAAAAAGCTAGCTTAATTGTTACAACAAAAATCTATTGGTAGTGAGTAAATACTAATACAGTCCACAGAAAACAGTTGTGCTCACCCAGAGAAGCATCCTTGTGTGCCTGCCCCGTTTTGCGTTCTTTTCTTCTGCACCTGCTACTGTCTGCTGTCATAAACTGAATAATGGACATAGACTTTGTGCCTGATCCAAAGCAGCTACTCCAATATTTTAGACAAACTGTAAGTTAGTTTGCTATAAAGTCGGTATTTGTTACCAACGGCTTTCTGAGAAAAGTTCTTGGAAGCAATACGCCCTTGGTGTTCATCTCAAGAGGACTATCTGGTTTTTAGTTACTCCTCTGCTCTCAGGGTGAAATATGTGTAAAATAATCTGGAATTACTAGTTAAATATTGAGGTAGTATTGGAAATACGCAATACCAGGGTTGTTTTTATAAAAATGTATTGAAACTTGTAGGCAGTATTAAACATCAGTTTTCATTGTTAAAGAAATTTTAAAATATTCTCAAAAGTTAAAAGAGCAATAATAGAATTTTCTGAGTGTCTCACAGGCAACAGTAACTATTTTTCATTTATTTTACAGAATAAAGATCCCAAAATGTCCCGAGTTGCACTGGAATCTTTGTATAGGTTATTGTGGGTTTATGTTATTAGAATAAAATGTGAAAGCAACACTGTAACTCAAAGGTAAGTTCATTATGCAAAGGATTTTAAACTATTGCTTGGTGGGTTTTTTTCCCCCTAGTGATATCAGAAGAGATCTTGAAGGTGGCTCAGTGATGGTCTAGTCAGGTAAACAGGGGAACAAAGACTTCATCTTAATAGAGAAAAACAAAAAAAAAATTGATTAGTTTGATGAGGAGAAGGAATAGAGTCTACAATTGTCTTTGCAGGTATAGAAGAGGGTGGAGGGATAAGAAGCAGGAAATTTGTCAAAGTTAAAAGGCATGTATGGTACCAGAACAAGTAGGGTATGAAGTGGCCATTACTGAGTATGGGCTGGAAATGAAAAGGTTTTCTTTATAAATTAGCATCATGACAATTTGGAATAGCCATTCAGATTTTGCCCTTTCTCCTGACAATTACTAACTAGTTTAAAGCGGGATCTTGGTCACTTCATAAATGAGCCCACGATACTGTTGCCTGTGACAGCAGAAGGCTGGACTTTCTGTAGGTGGTCCTACCTGTCATATGCTTCTGTATTATTTGGTAGTAACCCCACACACTCGTCCAGATTTGAACTGTAACATCTATGCTATGATAAGAAGTTACTTTAAAAAGTTTTTTTATTTCTTTTTGTTTCTAAATTCTTGTAGCCGTCTCATGAGCATTGTATCAGCACTTTTTCCAAAAGGATCACGTAGCGTGGTCCCACGAGACACACCTCTGAATATATTTGTGAAGATAATTCAGTTCATTGCTCAGGTAAGAAGAGGTCTAGGTAGAGCTGTAAAAATAGGATGAACATTGTTTGGAAGAAATGTAAATTCAAGGTTAGGTTTTGAAATATTTGCACTGAACTAATGGTCTTATATCTTGAATAGAATTTCCCCAAATATGTATATGGAATGAAACGACTCATTCTGTTTCTACTAGTGGCAAAATTATTTTACTCAAACTTCAGAAACTATTGTGCGTGAACATTATGATGATTAATATTTACATTTGTATTGAACTGTTGTGGGTGTGTATGTGTGTATATATATATATATAAAGAAATGCACTAATATAATTAGCATATTCCATTATATTTTTATAAGGGACAAAGCTTTTGAATGTATTTAGCCTGGAGGATAGCCTCTGTAGACAGAAAAAATATGTAATACATGCAGTAGTGTATAGTTAGTATTGCATTGTGATTTATATTATTTTAGGTGCTTCTGTTGTCCTAATATCGAAATGCAGGTATGATCTTGCAAGATAAACTCTCATTCATCTATAACCTTATAGATTAGAGAGGTGTTTTCCTCTCTTACAGATAGATTGTCTGTGCTTCAGCTTCCAAGGTGATGTGCTTCTGCTCATACAGGGATGAGGCAGGACACACAACCCTTCACTGTTTATATGTTTCCTAGGGCTCCTCTTTTTATCACTAGTTTTTAGTTGTCTAAAACAGTTCATCTCATTTGTGGAAATGAGCAGAATTGTCTGGGATTTTTTTCAGGAGAAATGGTTCAACCATATCAGGGAATGAGCTGTGTTGAATTGTACTATATTTAGAAAAGAACATGAAGTCATAAGGATAAATAGGAAAAAATGAATGTTTTAAAAACTTTTTTATTTTTTTAAACTTTCAAGACCTGATACCCAGCACCTGTGGAAAGCCAAGAAATTTAACTATGCATATTAACAGAAAAGAGATGATCATATCAATCTATTTTGCTTTATAGGAACGTTTGGATTTTGCAATGAAAGAAATAATATTTGATCTTCTTAGTGTTGGAAAATCACCTAAAACCTTCACTATTAATCCAGAGGTAAAAAAAGCTCATTACTTGCATGCAGTGAGAACAGGGAATTGGGAGATTTTTTGGGGGAAAGTGGTCAACTATTTTTGAGCTGGGATGAAAGCAGTTTAATGAATATCTGAAGGGGTGTTCTGCTAAAACTAAAGAAGTGATTGTAGTTGTGCACAATTGCTGTTTCATTTCCAGTGAGTAAGCTGGCAGCAGTACTACAGTTCAGACTTATTTCAACAATAATTTCAGTAATTATGTGGGAATTTTTGTTATAGTATGATTGTTAAGCCTTTTCTGAGGGAAGTCGTACCTAGCTCTTAGGGTTCAAGACCCAATCTAATCTAACAGATGAGATATTTCAGCAACATCTGTCTTCACTGTGTCATTCTCAAGATTCATGTGAAGTTCTTTAGTGCTCTGTACTATCAAATATTTGGCATATGTTAATTAGTCTGTGTCAAGTCAATTAACTGGAATCAGAGTTGTGGGGAGGCACTGAAGGCTTAAGCTTTATTCTTGTTACTTTCGTTACCCTAATACATAACATTTAAATAATGTCTGTCCTCTGGGAAACGTACCACTGTTTGTTTAAAAGAGGGGAAAGATGAAATTCGTGTTTTGCCTCATCCGTGTTGCTTTAATATTATAATTTCTTCTGTTTTCTCTTTCTTTTTACCTTTTTTGGTATTGAAGAGGATGAATATTGGCCTCAGAGTCTTCCTTGTCATAGCAGATAGCTTGCAGCAGAAAGATGGTGAACCACCAATGCCAACAACAGGAGTTGTTCTTCCCTCAGGAAATACTCTGCGCGTGAAGAAAATTTTTCTTAACAAAACGCTGACAGATGAGGAAGCAAAAGTTATAGGTATGTTGTATTCTTTTGTAAGTTGGCATTCTAATAGGTGTGTATATATTCTTAATTATTCTCAAGGAGTACATTTGTGTAACTTTATTTCTGTATTTATTTTAATTGTTAGCGACAATCTAATGATAGTCTCTTTTAACAAAATTGCTTTGATTCTTTAGAGAGGACTGCTAGACAATATTGACCTTCTGGTGTCCAAGACCAGATCCATGGCTTTTTTTGAAGGGTTTTGCACTGCCAAATTAGCACAAAGAAACCTGAGTGCAATTAGCGTGGTAAATAGCATGGCAGTTTTTGATCCCTTGATGTCTGTCTGATGCCTCTCATTCACTCCCTGGTGGGATGGGGGAGAGAATCAGAAGGATAAAAGTGAGAAAGCTCATGCGTTGAGATAAAGACAGTTGAATAAGTAAAGCAAAAGCCGTGCACACAAGCAAAGCAGAACAAGGAATTCATTCCCTGCTTCCCATGGGCAGGCATGTGTTCAGCCATCTCCACGACAGCAGAGCTTCATCACGCGTAATGGTTACTGGAGAAGATAAATGCCATAACTCTGAATGTCCCCCACTTCCTTCTTCTTCCCCCGGCTCTATATACTGAGCATGATGTCACACAGCATGGAATAGCCCTTGGGTCAGTTGGGGTCAGCTGTCCCAGCTGTGTCCTCTCCCAACTTTTTGTGCCCAACACCAGCCTACTCGCTGGTGGGGCGGTGTGAGGAGCAGAAAAGGCCTTGACTCTGTGTAAGCACTGCTCAGCAATAACTAAAACATCCATGAATTGTCAACACTGTTTCCAGCACAAATCCAAAACATAGCCCCATTGTCACACAGCATGGAATAGCCCTTGGGTCAGTTGGGGTCAGCTGTCCCAGCTGTGTCCTCTCCCAACTTTTTGTGCCCAACACCAGCCTACTCGCTGGTGGGGCGGTGTGAGGAGCAGAAAAGGCCTTGACTCTGTGTAAGCACTGCTCAGCAATAACTAAAACATCCATGAATTGTCAACACTGTTTCCAGCACAAATCCAAAACATAGCCCCATACTAGCTACTGTGAAGAAAATTAACTACCCCAGCCAAAACCAGCACAATGTCACTGTAGAATGTCCCAAACGTCCCATAGCTGAAGTGGAGTGAGACAGTTTTCATTCTTAAACTAGTGATCTTCTGTGGATTGAGGTAGTGTCGTCCATTCAGGATCGGGATCAAAGGCAGACGAACAGAGTCCTCCTCAGACGTCGGCCATTGAAGGAAGAGAGAGCTGACCCTTTGATCCCTTCAGCCTTTATACTGAGCATGAGGCAGATGGGATGGAATACCCTCGTTGGGCAGTTTTGGGTCACCTGTCCTGTCCGCTCCTCCCTGCAGGTGGGACCCCACTATGCTTTTCTGCTTCCGACCTTCCAACGGGGCAAATACCAAAGTTGGCTGCCTTTGGGTGTTATAGCAATAAGTGTAAGCAAAGTCCTCTCTGCGTACCGTGCCTGGACATCAACTATAAACATAGGTCTTGTCACTCTGAGAGAGTGAACATTGTCTGCACAATATGCTGTTAATTTCAGTAGCTAGAGAGGCCCAGCTAAGAAGCGAAGTTACTGACCAAAATTGGTTCTGTGTTACCTCAAACCGGGACAGGTAGTTGTCTCTAAATAACTGTTTCAACATGCAAAATTTAAACTAGAACTAAATACTCGGAATTGAGAAAACAGAAAAGCAACTGATGGTTGCTTCCTTGATTATGTTCTTTCTGAAAGTAACTTCTACTTTCATATAATACCTCCTACTACTCATTTAACATGCTTTTCTTTTGACACTTAAGTGGGTGTTTCATATCATCTTTTGTACAAGAATAAATTTTTTCTAAGCTGAATAAGTGAATTGATGTTAATAAAAATGTGAAAATTAAATGAGAACAAATGAAAGAGGTGATCACAACTCTTTGGCTTTTCAGGAATGTCCATATACTACCCTCAAGTCAGAAAAGCGCTAGATAGCATTCTTAGGCATTTGGACAAAGAAGTTGGAAGGCCCATGTGCATGACTAGTGTGCAGATGTCCAATAAAGAACCTGAAGACATGATTACGTACGTACTGAATTACAGTATTTTCACTGTCACAGTTACATCCTGTTGTTTTTAGGCTGTAATGCTGCAGTTGCCATCATTAACGCATTACAATTGTTGGCTTTTTACTTGACTATCAAATGAATACTAATTTCATTAATTGATGATAAAAATGTTTGTTAGCTCCTTAGTTTTGACACAACATTGAAAATATTTGCGGTGTACTGAAGCAGATTTTCCTGTTTTTTTTTTTTTTTTGTTGGCTATGAACTGTTTTTGTAGGGGTGAGAGAAAACCTAAGATAGATTTGTTCAGAACTTGTATTGCTGCTATCCCAAGACTGATTCCAGATGGCATGAGCAGGACTGACCTCATTGAATTGCTTGCAAGGTAAGGGAGATGAAATTCTGCTCTTAGAAGATGTTCCTTTTTAAATGCTGTGTGTATAAGAGTTTGTCAGCGCACTATGTAGCGTGAGTCCACTGCATACAGAATCTGGTCGTCCTGGTCCTGCCTACCTTCTGCTGTTGGTCAAGTGTTACTGGCCCCGGTAGCAGGAGGTAAATTTATCCTGAAGATCTTGCACTTATTTTTAGAAAGAATTTTTTTGAAAAGTATTTCTGTTGCTCTGTTTTTTGAACTTGTCTTTCCTTTTGTTACTAGTATCATACTTTTTTTCCCCTTTTTTCTTTTCTTTTCTTTTTTTTTTTTTTCTTCCTATTGCTAATACTGTAAATTATCATAAAGGCATTCTTGTTTGACTTTACCAAAATGGGAGACAAGCACTTACAGAAAACCTTTTTTCTTGTACTCTACTAATCCTGCTTCCTTCTTCCATTTTTTTTGATCCTACACTACCCAGATTCTTCTATCTCTTATCTCACTTTAAATTGAATGTACCTTATCAGTACTGATAAGTAGTTGAGACAACTGGACAGCCAGGCGTTTGTAGGTGGGTAAACTGAACATTTAGTGAGAATATGTAGTTGTGGTAGATGCTGATACTCTTTACGTATGACTACAGTGATAAACGTTCCTCTTTTTAAGAATAAGATTTTTCTAACACTTTTTCTTCAGTGTCAAAAATCACATAAAAGACACGAATTATTAAGTAATAATACAGTACTGCATAACTTTCTTCTAATATAGTGGGCTGAGACATATTCTTAAGTATATATGCAAAAGAATTTTTTGCGAGTGTTTTCTCATACCCAAAGTAAAGCTGCTTTATCTACAAGAATAATCTGGGGTTTTTTCAATCTTAATTTGAAGAAAGTAACCCGTACATCACATGGTGCCTGCCTGCTGAGCTCTAAGGTGGTTGCTCAGATGCATGCAAAGATGTGCCTATATGAAAGACGACTATGTCGCTTGAAAATTATTTGTTTGTACTTCGTTTTGTGGAGCCTTGCATTATTTTGCTAGGGTAGTAGCACCTTCTGTTAGTAGCCAGTTTCAGATATATTTAGTGCAGAAAATGCAGCTGCGTGGCAGTATTCTACACTGTATAGTAAAGAAGGAAGAGTTAACACCAAACTCTAATTTATAAAGGCTGGTTAAGAGTATGCCAATCTAGGGTGATGATACCGGTATTTTTTCTAAACAGGCTGACAATTCATATGGATGAAGAACTTCGTGCCTTGGCTTTCAATACTCTCCAAGCATTAATGCTTGATTTTCCAGATTGGCGGGAAGATGTTCTTTCAGGATTTGTATATTTTATTGTGCGTGAAGTGACTGACGTCCACCCAACGCTTCTTGACAATGCAGTAAAAATGTTAGTGCAGCTCATAAATCAGTGGAAACAAGCAGCCCAAATGCACAATAAGAACCAAGATTCTCAGGTATTTCTAAATAAGGTCTTTTGATGTTAAAACATGGTTTGAATCCACATACAGTTTTACTAGTAGACTATTGTTTTTGTTAAGTAATAAAACTTTAGCTTGCGTTCTTACAATGGTTGAAGATTTTTAGACCTATTATTTTAAATCAGCATTTTCCCCAAAAAATTACTATTTTTTTTTAAATACTAATTACTAAAAATTATTAAGTGTTACCTGAACACTGATTGATGGCCACATTTTTGCTTACGTTAAAAGTTATCATGTGTAACTGGAAATATATTAAGTAGGAAGGGTCAAAAAATAGAAATAGAAAAAAGGACCATTTTTTACTAGCAAACAGAAAGGGTTCAAATAATTTAATTTTATATAGTCCTATATGTAAGAGTATTACTTATTTATTTTCCATTTTGCTCTCACTGCATCATTCTCATGAGAAAGTGAAATAAGAAAGGCTTTCTTGTGGTATTTGCTTGGACTGAATTCAGAGAAATACTAAAAAAACAGAGTAGCTGATACTGTGCCATTCTTACAATGCAAAATTTGACTAGTCCTCAAACCAGGACAATAGCCGAACAAGATCTAAATATCTTATGATTAATTCTGCCATCGCCAATAATGGAACTATAGGTTGGTTGTGTTCACTTTCTTCTTAATTTGCTTGATCTATGTGATCTTTTTCTTAGCGTGGTGTATCCAATGGGGCTGCCCATACCCTTCCTCTGGAGAGGAACCTTTATTCCAGTGTATTTCACGTGGTGGAAGGCTTTGCTTTGGTCATCCTTTGCAGCACAAGGCCTGCCACCAGGAGATTAGCTGTCAGCGTTCTCAGAGAAATAAGGGCCTTGTTCACAGTTTTAGAAATTTCGAAGGTAAGAGTTGATGACCCATTCCTGTGACTGCTTAATGAAACTGCTCTTGTCTTGTCTGTCTTTGAGCTTTTTATGCTTTGCGTTTTGTCTTTACTTGTAGAGTGAAGATGAGTTGGCTATAGATGTAATGGACAGACTAAGTGCCACTCTCCTGGAGAGTTTCATACATCTCACTGGGGCTGACCAGGTAGGAGAGTTTTTATGTTAAGTTGGATGTAAGGTGAGGTAATTCTTCAAAACTGTCCCAAATAAATTGTATGTATTTTAAATGATAGTGTCACTATGTTTATGCTAACTTTATCAGCAATTTATCACCTTAAACAAACAAACTCACCCAACCAACTGAAAAAAAAGAAACAAACCACCTCTCAAAAACCCTTGAGGAATGTTGTGAGTCTGACACCACCATTGTGTGCTTTCTGGTCAATAGTGTGTCATTGTGACGAACATATACACAGACAGCTGTACCTATATCTGTGTTTTTCTCATTTTACTCATAGGTTACAATTTCTTTGAAGCAAAGACCACTGCACGTTTCTGTAGTGATACAGTGTCTTAACAGCCAAAGTGTCCTTTACCCAGGATGAAAGCTATAGTAACTATCAATGAATAACAACTGAATTCCATATTTATATATTTATTGTTAATGCTTAAGTATCAAGGAAAAGTTCTTCTGATTTTAGGTTTAGGAAACAAGTTGGAATTCAGTAGTAAGGTTTTTAAAGTCCAGAATCTCTTGAAAGAATTAAGTCATCAAGAGTGAAAGGGCCTTTTGTTAGAATTAGTATACTGTTTCCTAATATCCAGTTCCTTCCCAAACAGCATGTTTATATAACTGTCCACATTAGGAACTTCTGTAAAAGACCCATGAATTAAGTAATTAGTTTTATGTATTCCAAATGGGGTTTTGACACTGATACTTTATTAGATATTTAGCAGTGAAGAGTTCATTACTTAATATACATGGTTATTAAATATTGCCTTGTTCTCCTTTTTTTTATGTGCACAGACTACTTTACTGTACTGTCCCAGTTCAATAGATTTACAGACTCTGGCTGACTGGAATTCCTCCCCAATCAGCCACCAGTTTGATGTGGTCAGTCCATCACATATATGGATATTTGCACATGTGACTCAAGGCCAAGATCCATGGATTATAAGCCTCTCAAGTTTCATGAAACAGGAAAATCTTCCAAAACACTGCCCAACAGCTGTAAGTTATGCTTGGACATTTGCTTATACCAGACTCCAACTGCTGTCTCCGCAAGTGGATATAAAGTAAGTTAATTTTTGAAGTAAACACAATATATTATTTTGAGTATTCTTTCAAGATTTATCATCATTATAATGTCTTTATGTTTCAGTGAGGTGACATATGAACCATTTATATTTTCTGTGGGTTTTATTCAGCTTTATATAACAAAAATTTAAGGCAGTTCTATCGTGGGAATAAAGTTATCTGCTGTAAAGATTAATTAGTTCATGCCTTGGGTCGTGTCATAGTTGAACAGATCTGCCTATAAAAGTATACATTATTGATGTACAGGTGTATTCTGAAAAATTTATTCAGAGTTTACCATGTTAAGAATTTTGGAAGCAATAGCATATACATAATTAATAAATGAATTAAGTAGAAAAACAAAGTGAAACCTGGTAAGTTTTATTTACTATCCTGAGCTTATTTATTTATTTATTTATTTTATTTTTTAACAGCAGCCCTATCAATGCAAAGAAAGTGAATACTACTACAAGCAGTGACTCCTATATTGGGCTCTGGAGAAACTACCTGATTCTTTGCTGCAGTGCAGCATCTTCTTCAAACTCCTCCACCTCCACAGGCTCTGTGAGATGTTCCCCTCCTGAGACGCTGGCGTCTACTCCTGACAGTGGTTATAGCATTGATTCAAGAGTAGGTTCTTTTAATGCTTACTGTAAATAAGTCTACATGTTGTTGGAAGTAGAAACACCTGAGGCTTATAATAACTATCATGATTCTTAGAAACTGGTGTAATTGCTATCATGATTCTTAGAAACTGGTGTAATTTGTCTGAAAACATGTTAAAACGTTTTTTCAGACAAATTACACCAGTTTCTAAGAATCATTAATATTCATTTGTCTTTCATTTGTTTAAGACAGTGTTTCAGTTTGCTTCTCCCAATACGTGCTGTGGAGGCTTTTCTGCTTATGTTTTTGAAGGCAAAATCTAATTATTTCATGAAAACATTAACCCAATCTCAAAGTATATTTAGTGGTAATGAAGAAGTGTTTTGTTTACTGTTAAGGTTTGTTGGTGGGTTTTGTTTTTTTTTTTTTTCTCTCAGTAAACGTCTGCAATTCTGAGCAAATAGCCTCACACTTCAGCAACTGAGGCAGAGACCTATTCAGGCATGATGTATCTTGTTATATTTTTCCTAACCACAGGCAGTTTTCTGTCTGCCTTGCTTCATCACCTGCAGATTTTTTTTTTTTTTTTCTGCTTCTTTGCTTATTTTTTGTTCTTCTCCTTTTTGGCTTCCTGTAGAAGGTACAGTAGAGGTGAAGATAACTCATGGACTATGTAGCCAGTTTTTGGCCAAGGCAGCTTATTCCACTTGTTTGTTACCAAGATCCTTTCCCTAAATCTAAGAAACGATAGACTGAAATCTTTGTTCTCTTTGAGAGCTGCAATGGAGCCTAAGGAGCTGGAGACCAGAAGTCTGCTGCTTCTCCCTACGGAGGGCAGATACGCTAAACATGCAAAGCATCTGTTTATCGTGTTGGGGCATTCGTTGTCATCTGACAATGAAAATTCAATTAGACAAGGAATGGAGAAGTAGTTAATACTACTTCACTGTTTCAGAGAGTCTTTTTCCTGTCAAAGATAAAAATTTCATTTTAATCGTTTTAAGTCACTGATCAGTGTGAGAAGACTGTAAAATTACAGTAGATGTTTTAATGTTACACCACCTGATTGTTTGGTAACTGCTTCATTCTGGTTTTCTTCTTAGGTCATTGGCATTCCATCCCCTTCCTCCCTGTTTAAGCACATAGTTCCAATGATGCGCTCTGAGAGCATGGAAATTACAGAATCCCTTGTGCTGGGACTTGGCAGGACCAACCCAGGAGCCTTTAGGTAACTGTTGTGTCTCGTCTCTTTTTATGTTAATTGATTAAAAAGCTGGGGAATCAGAGCTCAGAAAAAAAGCTTTGCTTTTTTACAAAAGCTTTCAAAACTGATTACCATTGTCTTTTCTAGCATTAAGTGGTGTGATAAAGATTGTTAGAGGTTGAAATAATTTTATGTAGAGCTCATGTCTGCATAAAGAAAAAGAAGTTAGTTGAAACAATAAACAGCTGCCTTTTATTGATATTAAAGGCTGCCCTTATATGAAAGAACAGACTGTGTGTTTGCATTTAATTTGATATTAATGTTTGAAATGTTGATTGTAATCATGTTTATAAGAGTTACTAAACTCTCCTTATTGGTATTGCCAACAGATATGTTTCTGAGCACTTTGTGTGTAGGAGTTTCATGATAACTGTATTCTAAAAAGACATGTTTGGATCAAGCTAAAAAAAACCCAAACAGTTACAACTGTTTTCTGACTAGTGCTGAAGCTTCTGAAATCTGTGGCACATGCCTCTCCCCTCTTTTCTTTTTTTTTCTGAGTAAACTTCCTGTAACTTCATAACTAATACACCTTTCTCATACATCGTACCAATGACAAGTCCATGTGGATTAGTTTGGGTTCCAGTAACTGTGATCTATTGTAGCAGAATTAAATTTGTGCCAAGTCACTTGTTCTGTCAATTTAATTTCATACATCCTTTTCAACATACCTGGATTCAGCTCATGATCCAAAACTTCTGGTTACCCTACTGTGACAAGTCTTCAAATTCAAAATGGTCTATCAAGCCATGGTGGCATTCCTACCTCAACTGAAAATTACTTTACTTCAGATCCTAATGTGCCGTACTGTCGATGTGTATTGCAAACCCACTGAGGTGAAAAGGCAGCTCTATGCCAGGAAGCCATGAGTTTAAAAAGGCATCTCTATGCCACTGTCCTCAACTGACAGCTCTCTCTTTGTGGAGGCTGGATGAATAGGGAGAACATCTGAGGAGAGGAAAACTTCCTGGGAAGGCCTTGCTCAGCATCAGGTGTTGTCTGACAGCACGCAACCTCTTATAGCGGAGAGTTACGAAGTTGTACCATGCTATATGCTATAGCAACCAATTCTGCTTCTGCAGAAGAAACCAGGGATTGCTAACACTCTTGGTTTCCAATGAGATGATGCTTCTCTCCAATCACTTGTTATCCCATATTATGGCAGATGAGAAGCCAAAGATATATTTGAAACTGTAATGCCAATTCCTCAGTTACAGTATTCTGTTTTGCTCCTTTGATAATATTCTAATTTTATATCATGTCTGGCTTTATTGTCCTACCAGGAGTAAAGCAAGACTTTGTCCCATGACCCTGAAGATCTGTTGAACAGTTTAAATCATAAGTCTCTACAAGTCTAGAAAATGCTTTCAGAAAGGATTTCCCCAGAAATTCTTGTTTTCTAAATTAGAAACAATTCGTTCAGCAAAATTAAAAAAAGTATATCTGATTCTTACCGGTCTTCGGATTTCTTTATTCTGATTTTTATTTTTTGTTTCTGATGACTAGCTTTTTTCCATTGTCCGGTGTGTGTACTCACACCAGATGCTAACTGTAGCCCAGCTTTCACCATTGCAGCTTTGCATGGATTTGTTTTGGTTTTTTTTAAGCACGGTGCCTCGCCACGCGGTATGTTTTACTTGAGAACTTTTTTCATTATAGATTATATTATATGCAGTCCACTTAACCTTGCTAGAATATTCTTTTTCTCTTTTGTTCTGTTACTGATTACGTGAACTTCTCTAGGTCTGTCTTGCTCTCCATTGGAAGTACTATGTTTTAGCACAAACAGAGCTTCTTCCAAATTCTTTTCTGTGTTTTCTATGTTTGAAAGAAAGTATAAAACAATCCCTAATGATGCTCAAGTCTCTTGTATTTGAGTGCACCACAAAAGTTTGTTCTGATCACCTGGACCCATTCTCTGAAGGAGAAACTTTGAATGATACAGCAGAGGAGTCGCAAAAGTTTGTTCTGATCACCTGGACCCGTTCTCTGAATGATACAGCAGAGGAGTCAGTCATTTGCCATGAAAACTTGAAGAGGTTTATGCTTTTGATGTCTGAATTACAATAGCACAGGAATTAGAAAAATGTTTCACACTCCAAGACTAAAGTGGAGGCGGTGGTTACTATGTTAACAAATATTAAAGTAAAACCAGTATGTTTTTACCTTAGTATTTTGTCTGCATAGATTCATACTACTGATGTCCTTTCCCTTATCCCCTTTCTGGAGTCATAAGAGTCTAAGTTTGGCAGAAGGAACTGAGTAGTAGTAATAAAGACTGTCGAGCTTCAGAGCAAACAGGGAATGTAACCACAGAGTCAAAGCACGTTGCTTTTCAGTTTTCATAGAGACTAGTCTGACTGCTGACAGCATTGCATTAGCATCTTTCAGTTGAGATGTTAATTTAATGGTTGTTTTTATTCTTTTAATTCTTTTATTTTAATTCAGGGAACTAATAGAAGAATTACATCCTATAATTAAGGAAGCACTTGAAAGAAGGCCAGAGGTAACTAGATATTTTCCGCTATATTCGGTATACGGTTTTAACTATCTTCTCACTAATGGTAGAAAATAAATGTTAGTTTTCTTCTTTAATTTCTGCACATAAAAACTGTCAGTATACCAGATAAAAAGGTGAGATTTTACTTTTTAAAATGACTGTGAGGTGTTTACATTAGAAGAGCTTTGTGTTTGTTTTGAGCTCTGTATTGTTCCTGTATCAAAGATGTGTTGTTTTCAGTGATAAAAAAATGTAACCTTTTCCACATTCTTTTAGTTCCTTTTACTAAGCATAGTTTTATACAGTTGTTATTTCATTATATCATCAGTAACATGCCCATAGTAGTACCGCCTAAGACACAGAATTGAGTTCTACTGTCTACCAACTTTCTTGTTTGGGGTTTTTTTAAATGAAAAAGGCTGTAAGCTCACCTGATTGACTGCTCTGACTAAAAATTTTCTGATGGAGAGCGTATTTTACAGCAAGGTTTAGAAGCCTCAGTAGGTAGTCATAGGAAATAATAGTCTCTGCAAACGCAAACTCAGAGATGATTACTCAGTATTTTTTGTGGTAACTGTCATATGCTTGTTAATAATAAATTTGTAATTAAATACAGATGATGGGAAGGAACATCACTTCTGTTTTAAAATGTTGGTGGGCTATAGTGTGTTTTGTCAGTCTTGCATGCAAATATGAGATAGATTGGCAGTTGTACTTCATTGTTTTATATGTTGCACTTTGTGACAAGAGACGAATAAAACCCCCTATTTCGATAATACGTGTAATAGCAAACCTAGTATATCTTAGAGATGCGACAGGGAAAAATTTTGTTCATTGTCTGGTTTATTAAAATTGCTCGTAATTTTGTTAACTCATCTTAAAAGGTTGGCACCCCTGATAAGTGATGCCAGTTGCAGTATAGATATGATAATGCATTATGTGCCAAGCTGGTTTTATACTTAGTTTTTCTTCTGCTTCATTTAATTTTGTTTCCTCTGTTGAACAGAACATGAAACGGCGCAGGCGTCGAGATATTTTACGAGTACAACTAGTACGAATATTTGAACTGTTGGCAGATGCTGGTGTCATTAGTCACAGGTAGGGGCAGCACTGATGAGATGATGTTGTTTATGTTTCTGAATTAAGTCACTAGTATACTTATGATTCAGTATAACAAGCAGGCAAAATTCTTCAGTGAGTTTTAGGATAACACTAAATAAATAGGCATGGTTTTATAAAACCTGGAATTTTGCTGGCTTTCTAATCCCTCCCTCCCCCATACCCTTTGTCACTGTGGTCTGTGTTTTATTTAAAATGCTGCTATTCCCCGGGACTTTGCTTTGAACAGGCAGTGTGTCATGTTCCTTCTTGTTTGTGTGTGCTCAAACATCGCACCAGTTATGCAAATCAAAAAATGCAAGTTACAACTATTCTATAACCAGTCTGGAATTCTTCCTCACCTGGAATCCTGATGCTAGTCAGCATGTCCTATGCAGAGAAGGCTACTGCTCATTAATACTGGACTGGTTTTGTTCTGAGGGAGGCAGAACATTAACTGGGTTGTTTATTGATTTGGGGTTTTTTCTCAGTTTGTGCTTTTTGTGTAGGGACACTTTGAAAAAAGACTTAAAATTCTGGCATATGTTTTACAAATCTCTTAGAAATTTTTTTCTGGGCAGGTGGAATTGTATAAGAGCAAGTAGGTCAGGAGGTGGTTAGGCTCGTTCCTCCCATTCTCTTAGACAATGATACCGAAACTTTTATTTTTCAACCTTAGCAATATAACCAGTGTGAAATTCTCAATCTTTAAGCAAGCTACTACAGTATATTTCAGAATATTGCCTCAGAAGCATTGCTACAATGCCGTTCTTCCCTTTGGCATGCTGATTTTTCAGAGTGCAGCCATTAAAATCGTACTCTTCCTTTCTTATCTTTTAAGGTGCTCACTGGTGTTTAATTAGCGTATGTAAAATAACTCTTAACCACAGTTGGCACCCTGGAACTTTGTCCACTTTTCTCTCAGAGGCCAGTCGGACTCTGTGGTGGCAGCTAGCAAGCAATTAAGGACTACCATAAACCTCCTTATCTTGCCTTTGGTGTGCAAGGCATGCTTTTTTAGTTGACTTCAGTACAAATGTGGAAAGATGGTGGAGGGAGCTGAGAGGAAAGGAATCACCTTTCTAAAAACTGTTTTTCAAAGGAGAGCAGGTTTGAATCACACGCAGTCTTTAATCTCCTTATTCAGTTTAGTACAGATGTCTAGTCAGATACTAAAGCAACGAAGCTGGGAAATGAATATATAAAACCAATAAACGGCTTTCATCTGCTAATAGTCAATAGCATGTCATGAAGTAGTGAACATCTTGACTGACTCTGCAAAAGCAGTATGTAATATGGGTGTCTATAGTCAAGTAGTAGTAATTATTTTTTCTGGTTTACAAATTGCATGGGTTTGCGGTAGGGAGGGCTTGATTATTTGGCTGGGGTGGGTTTTTTTATTATTATTATTACTTTCAACATTTGTTCCCAGTATAAGAGCTAGTTCTGTGGAAGGATGAGTGACTTCTGATAGTGAGGCTTGATTATTAGTTTGCTTTCACTGGAGTTTTTTATTTAATACTGTAATAGAAGTTGGATGAAGAAATGACTTTGAATTAAATATTTACAGTGATGAGGTTGTAGGATTTTTTTAAAGAGAAAAAAATAAGGATTGTTTTCAAAAATCCTTGTATGTATTTATCATTCTGTTTGATTTTTTTAAAATTTTATTTTTAAGTGCAAGTGGTGGCCTTGATAATGAAACACATTCCCTCAACAACACTTTACTTGAGTATGTCGATCTTACGAGACAACTCCTAGAAGCAGAAAATGAAAAGGATTCTGATACATTGAAAGATATCCGATGCCATTTTAGTGCCTTAGTGGCAAATATCATTCAAAATGTTCCAGGTATGTAAAAATGCTTTAATGACTTCTGATGACTGAATTTAATATGCAGTACATTTTAAAAAAACGCAAAAACAAAAATCCAGCTTTTCTCTCAAGTTTCAGAATACTTTCATAAAAATAATTTGTGTCATCGGTTTTGAATATAACTTCAGCAGCATGAGTTTTTAAGAGGCATTTTTGGTACTGTTTGTAAGCGTACAAGTAGTTTTCTTCTTTAGCAAAAGTCTTGTTGGTTGGCAGTGCATTTAAAGTCTCCAGACTAATAAATATAACAATATTACAATAGTACAAGAATTTTATAAATGAATAAAATTTATGTACACTAGTGGCATTAAACAGGACAATAGTAAATCTACATCCAGCTATTATGATGTTGAAATACTGTGTCTTTACATTGTTTTTTTCCTTTTATATTCATTGTTTGGGTCTGTTTCTGTTTTCTGTTCTTTATTTTAAAGAATGACAAAAGGATTGTGTCTAACTGACTGCTTTTCTTACAGTACACCAGAGAAGAAGTGTCTTTCCACAGCAGAGTCTACGCCACAGTCTATTTATGTTGTTCAGTCATTGGGCAGGTCCTTTTAGTATCATGTTTACTCCTCTGGACAGATACAGTGATAGGAACATGCGAATAAACAGACACCAATACTGTGCATTAAAGGTATTTCAGCACTTTTGAATTTTGGAAATAGATTGTTATGTTGACTTTTCTAATGCAAATTTAATATTTCAGTTTTTTGGACATGATTTTCACATCCTTGTTGCCATTCGTGACTTTTTCGTCTGCTGCCTACATGTCTTTTCATGACAGTTTGGCTTTTTTTCATACCATAAGCTGTTGCACTTGCTATAGGCATTTCTTAAAATTACTACTAAATGTTCACTTCACATGACTTCAGGCGTCAGTTGCCTAAGGAGAAAGGCTTTCATGTAAAAGTTCATTAACAATCAAACTGGCATATTAACTGTTACGTACGTCAGCATTTCAGTATTGGCAGTTCCTTGTATTTGGGAGTTGAGAAGAATAGGATTTGATGATTTCTTGAATAAGATGCTAAAGAGTTTTTTATTAGCCTTGGTCTTCCTCCCTTGATTGAATAGAAGTTAGTTTTCTGGTATTTTACTCAACTTGGTAAAACCACTTCCTGTCTCCGAGTTATTAAAATGTAGTGTTTCTCAATTACTTTCTAAAGGCTATGTCTGCTGTACTGTGTTGTGGCCCTGTTGCAGATAACGTCGGGCTCTCATCTGATGGCTATTTATACAAATGGCTGGACAATATTTTGGATTCACAAGATAAAAAGGTAATACAGGCAATGTCAACATTGCTTTGCAACTATCAGTGCCTGCAACGTATGCTTTAATGAGTTTTGCGGTCAGATTGGCCTAAATGCTTTAGAGTGGCTTAAGCTCAAAGCTGTTTTAGTAGTGCATATTTTTGCGCTGTCCTTAATATGTGTGCTCACCCTGTTGAGGAAGGCAGTCCCTAATCAGAGTCTTAAGAACAAAACAGATGGAAGAGGAAATGGCAAGGAGTGTATCGTTTATAAACCTCATGTATTGTTTATAAACTAATCAGCTAGGTTAAGTTCTAGTAATAAGCAGATCTTTTGGAAATTTAAAGGAGACTATTTTGAACATGAACTCTGGTGAGACTGTAGAGTCCATTGGGGGTCCTGCGGGGTTACGAAGACCAAGCTTTACGTCTAAGCAGTAAGGCAAGCTTTAGATTGAAAAGAAGGCCTCCATTGCACTAATACTATGCATAAAAATACAGCTCCAGTGAGCTACTTTGATTCAAGAGAAGGTGCAAGTCTCCCTGTAGATCCGTCCCTTGTATCCCATTGGAATTCCTGCATATGTTTAAGTGCTTTTCTGTATCTGATGCTTTCAGGTCTGTGTTCAGCTTGTAGTAAGACAAGTCAAAATACTATATAGCTCAAGGTAGCCTTGGAACTGAGGAAAAAGTCAGTAGAGCTATCTGGTTATTTGCTTCAATAATTTATGACTCTGCGTGCAAGTTGAACATTAAACAGTTTGATAGAATTACCTGTTATTTTAAGCTGTGGTCTCATTGTTTTTAGATGGAACAAATTTTGTGTATTGCAGTTGTTTGTGGGGTTTTTTTAAGTAAATATCTATTTCCCTGTTTTATGCCATTTTTGTAAGTTGGTCTTTTTTTCTATATTTATAAATATATATTGGTTCTTTTCTGGAATACAGGTTCACCAGCTAGGCTGTGAAGCAGTCATGCTGCTCTTGGAACTCAACCCTGACCAGAGTAACCTCATGTACTGGGCCGTAGACCGGTGTTACACAGGTTCCAAGCGGGTAGCAGCTGGCTGTTTTAAAGCTATAGCCAGTGTGTTCCAAAACAGGTACTACAACATTTTTTAAAACTTTAAACTTCCATTTCGAGGTGTGCTTTCATGTAGAACTGTTTTTTTTCCTCCCTCAAAGAGAAAAAAATCACCCCTGTTTGTGTGTGTGTGTGTGTTACTAGAGAAACTTCTCAAAATGTTATGTTATCCCATACATATCCCCTGTAAAATAAATTTCAGTAAATTTAAATTTTAAAATGCCAAATGTAATTTTACTTGTTTCACACTTCCAATTTTTTTCCCTAGGGATTACCAGTGTGATACAGTGACCCTCCTGAATCTGATACTATTTAAAGCAGCTGATTCTACTAGGGCTATCTATGAAGTTGCTATGCAACTATTGCAGGTTTGTAAGCAAATTTTGATTAATTTTTTTTTCTTTTAAAATAAAAATTGTCCCGTGCATTTAAAAAAAAAAATCCCTTATTATTTGATTATCTGTTCAGTAGTGAAATATAATGTATTTTTTTTCCTCTATTTTAGTACGTGGTTAGGCCAGATCCTTACCTAGCACAGATAGATTACAGTGGAAGCATGTCTGGTTTTGTGAATTAAGCACTCAAGATTTGTGTTTTCATAATAATCTGCTTTTTCAAGAGACAAAACCTAAATCAAGATTCTTCTGGTTTGGCCCTGAAACAGAGTGGTATATAGCTCGGTTTGTCCAAAAGCACCTCAGAGAAGTATATTGCTTTCCGTCCCTTTGCTTTGTCTGCTGGGATAGCAGTTAGATACCTGATTTTTGCATTAATACCAACATCTTTCATCTATCTGGGTGGAGAGATGGTAGTGAAAATCTTGTTATCCATTTAATTTACTTTTGTATATTCCTTTCCAGGGTCATTTAGGGGTAAGCTTAATCTTACAGGCAGCATTAGTGTTTAAAAATAAATAAATCGGTCTGTGCTGCTGGTGGCTCAAACCACGAGTCTTGGAGGGTTTTTCAAAGGTTTTGTTGTCAGCTAAATTCAACAGTAAAATCCCCACTGAAGTGACATCCCTCTTGATGTCAGCACTCACACCACCCTCCCTTTCAGCCCCATCTTTCTTCTCAAGCGAACGCCACTGCTTAAGATCAGCCAAACCTGACTTTTAAGGTATCAAACTGCTTTAGCCTCCTGCTGCATCTCTGCCCTCTGCCACATTAAAGATTGCGTTGCTCCCATCTCTATCTCATAGATAAGCAGAAATTGATATTGTTTGGAAATGCAAGTGTTAAATAATATTTCACATTTTGTTATAGAGAAATTTATATTTAATACAGTATTTTGTGATAGCAGATTTCTGAAATTTGTTGCTGGAATCTTATCAAGTGAAGTGCATCTTCATAGTTGTCTATGTTGTCTATGAAATTACCACAGTGTTGGTGAATACTGTAGATGTATGGAGATCTGCACAGACAGGAAACATTAAATGAGAGTACATTTACTACGTGGATTTTAAGAGGTGATTTTATATAAAGATTTTCATTGTAACTCTATACTTAGCTTCAAATTCTGAACATTACTGTTGTAGATCTTGGAACCAAAGATGTTCCGTTATGCTCATAAACTGGAAGTTCAGCGGACGGATGGGGTTTTGGGTCAGCCTTCTCCTTTACCACATCTTTATTCTGTGTCGTATTATCAATTGTCAGAAGAATTAGCAAGGACTTACCCTGAACTAACACTTGCTATCTTCTCAGGTATGGCTTTTAAACAAAACCAAACAACTTCGTCAGGTCAAAAGCATTGTACAAAAGGTCTAATTCTTATGTTTCAATAATTAATTACATGTAATTCTCTAAAATCAGGACAACAAGATAACGTCATCATAATGAATGGAGAAAATGGAATTTACTGAGTGACAATTTTTGTTTACTTGTATTTGAAATATATTCAAGAGCAAACAACATGAATCGAAGATACTTGTACTGACTAATAGCCATGAAAAATCACATTAGAGAAATAATTTTCAACTTTTTAAAAATTATTCTATTATTCTTTCTAGTGTTTTATTATGTACTGCAGATTGCTTGAAAATATTATTCTATAGCCTTTTTAAACAATTGCAGAATAGTAACATCTCACATCAATTAAAAAAACTACTAGGACTAATATGAGGGAAAAGAAATTTTAAGTGCTATTCTGCCAAAGTTTGTACATTTTTACATGCTGTAGGTTTTCAGTTCCCTCCTCCAATTAGAGTGATAGATACGTATGCATATGCTAACATGGTTTCTTCAACATACTGTTTGTCAGTAGTGTCTTCAATTAGCTCTAGTTAGTTAAACCAAACAATTATATCTGTATCAGAATTACTTTATATCAGTGTGGTCTGCTGGGCTCGTGGTTGTTACTACCAAAACGATTCTCATTATTGATTTGCAATTCCTGTATGTACCTAATTTTTGAATGACAGAAGTAAGTCAGAGAATCCAAACAGCTCACCCAGCTGGGAGACAGGTGATGCTGCATTATCTGCTGCCGTGGATGAACAATATTGAGTTGGTAGACTTGAAACCGTTGCCAACCATTCGTCGGCAAGATGAAGATGAAGAAGATTCTTTGAAAGACAGAGAAATAATGGTGAACAGTAGACGATGGCTGCGAGGAGAAGGCTGGGGGTCACCGCAGGCTACAGCTATGGTTCTGAACAATCTGATGTATATGACTGCAAAGGTAAAACTAATTACTTAAGTGCTCTGTCTTGTTCCAGTGGATCGTTGTGTTTAGGGTGCAAGAAAATACTCTTCAGAGATACTGTGTTACCAGACTTTCAAGAGTTTCTTCATATTTCTTGAGTTGCTTATGTGTACCCAAGTTATACCATATAGTTTTGAGGTATTGCAAGAAATATATATATATGCAATATAAAAGTTATAGTAATTGTTATATATATATATATTTCTGTATAGTAACAGTATACAACTGTTGGTTTGCAATATAGATGTCTAGCTGGATAGATAATGCCAAGTGGCCTGTGTACCTCTGATCTCAAAAAGAGGAGTTTTGGAACCAGTCTTGTTGCCAGAGGCTGATAGACCCTCCTCCTTCCTCCGATAGCTACTTCCAACAGAGAAAAAGTATTGGTCACATGCAGTGCTCCTGCCAATTCTTGATATCTTTGAATCCTACTGATGAAGAGATCACGTTTTAAGCTACAAATTAAAAACTCTTGGCAGCCTGTAGTCCATGGAATTTTATTCAGGATTATCAGCAACTGGGAGAATGCGTCTCTGCTAAATTTAGATAGCTTTTTAAAATCTATATGTAAATAAATATATAAAAATAGAAATAAATTCACATATAAATAAATATTTGTATACTTATATAATGTATAAAAGTATCTATCATATATAAATAAAATATATAATATGTACAAATATGCTCAGAGATATTTTTATATATTTATAGCTATAAAGGAAAAATAGTTATTTCCAGAACGTGTTTATCAAAATGAATGTATGTGAAACTTCATTCTGGAATGTTTAAAAGGCAACAGCTTCTTACAGGATTTGTGTCTCCTTTCTCTAGAGCCTGTCCCACTTTGTCAATACAATTTACTTTCAAATACAATGTTTTCTACTGGAGTTCTCAGGAGAGATCTTTATTTTGTTTTCTAGTATGGTGATGAGGTGGCTTGGTCGGAGATAGAAAATGTCTGGACTACTTTGGCAGACAGCTGGCCAAAGAATCTGAAAATAATTTTGCACTTCTTGATCAGTATCTGTGGAGTGAACAGCGAACCCAGCCTTTTGCCTTATGTGAGTATGTGATATGTGTCTCCTTAGTGCTATTGATATTTTAAAAATGAGTTGAGTGTCTAGTAACAAAGATGACCAAACAAAAAATGTGAGGCAGGATTTCTAGTGTCAAAATCTCCAACTGCGTAATAGTGTCACCTCACATTTTATGACCACTAAATACTATGAACAAATCAAATTCAGTTCTTCTGTTTGAGTTACTTTGGACATCTCTGTCTGAATTTTGGTGTCAATTTCAGTTAAACCTGGCATTCATTGTATGGGCTTGAGAAAGGAAATAAACCAGAAAGCATATCACACCTTAAAGATAGCTGAGGTTTCCTCAAGACAACTTAATGACTATTGCTATTTACTCAGGGTGATAAGTCTGAAACAGTCCGCTAGCTGTTTTGTCAGTTACAAATTGTCGAAATTTAGGATATACTAGGTGGATCATAGACCTTATTTAGTCAGTAAATAATAAAAAATTGAAAAGACTCATTAAACTGTGTACATCTGTCTTAGCATTTTTTTGTTCCTTTTCATAAAAAGGAAACTTAAGAGTTTGATTGCTAACTTTAGATTAATTTTATTAGGATTATACACTGAACAACACCTTTCCGTCATAAAGCGTAAATCTAGTGCAGCAGTTGGTGTCTGTTCATTAAGAAGAATTAAAATAGTTCCATAAGTAGTGTTTTAATTAGAAAATTATTATAGATTTTGCTGATAGTCAAAAAACCCCTAAATATGAAGTAAACCATCAGGACCTGTAATATTATTAAGTTCCTACTAAGGTCAGTTTAATTTCTTCATTGGTTGGCAGTTGTTTTCATTGCAAATCAGGAAATCTAGCTTAATGTTGCAGCCCAAAAGCTTTGCGCGTGTGGGTTGAAGAAGGTGACAAAGTAGTTCCACAAGTCAAACGCCCTGGCTCGCTTGCTTACCATTCATCTTTGAGTTCTCTCAAAAGGATGGAAATAACTCATGGAGCCGTAGCGACTCAAGAAAATGTAAGGAAAAAAAAATATGAACTTATTGGTGTTTAGAGTAATCGATGACTAGCAGCCATCTGCTGCTGCTTAGCAGTCACCAGGGTTATTTTGCTGAAGTAAGATGTAGTGGAGAATCCTTAATAAAATATTGCTATAGTTAGGTGTTCATTCTTATCAGAGTATATAAAGGCCTTGAACATTTGGGGAATTAATTGTTTTTTCCCATTCTGTAATTTAGGATAGTCCTGAAAAGCAGACAGATAATATAGTAAAATAAAGCACCTGTGTGCCGTGTAGGGCCGGTGTGATTATTCTCACATGACTAAGTATTAAAGCAAAAAAAAATCCCCACCCGAAGCCCCCTCAAAACTATTGATTCTAACAAGTTGTGGTATTTAAATCTCCTATTTTCATTTTTTTTTTTTTTAAATTGAGTCACTGCAATAAAAATTTTATTTATGTACATACTATTTTATATATATACTTCTTTTTGATGGCAGGTAAAGAAAGTTATTGTTTATTTGGGTAGAGATAAAACAATGCAACTACTAGAAGAGCTGGTGAGTGAACTTCAGCTTACAGATCCTGTCAGTTCAGGAGTCACCCATATGGATAATCCACCATATTACCGCATTACTTCCAGTTACAAAATCCCCTCTGTCACTTCAGGTGAGAATTTATTAACTTAAACTTTTATTATTGTCGATGATAAACATGTTGTTATCAATCAGTTATAATATTAGAGTTCATCTGTAAATATTCAATAGGAGTACAATGTTCTGTTTCTTAAAGTAAATTAAGCCACAAAACTCGTTTTACAAGGTCTGAAGTTTTTGGTGTATCCAGAGTTCTTGTCAAAGAACATCTGAGTGGTTGACAAGGAACAGGTTTGTATTTGTTAGGCTTTGTCTATGTTCAGATCTTGTACTGTTTGTCCTCATTCTGTCACTTTTATGACAACTCAGTCAAACAGATGGGAAAATGTATGTAATTTTAAATCCATGTAAGTTGTTATATTGTAAATTCTGTTATAGACACAAGCTGCATCATTTATTCAAGAGGATTTAAGTGAACTTACTTAGGAGAATTTACTTAGAAATAATTAACAGTTAACAATAGATCAATCATCAAAGAAACCCCCACTGAAAATACAAAAAGTGTCTACCTCATGCGTCAATCCAAGAACATGCCGAGAAACGTGGGGGAAAGCTGTCTGGTTTGGGTGAAGCGTCTTTCAAAGTGAGCCACAGAAGACGTGGATGGGAGGGGATCTAAGCAAGGACACAGCTTGTGTGCTGCAAAGCTGTCAGTGTTATGAGTCAGCCTGGGCCCATCACGTAGGGATTATTGGATCACAAGGTGGATGCATTGGCGCTTGTTCATGAAAGTGTTTAAAAAGTATGAAAAAAAAAAAATATGGGGCTGCTGCACTTAAGTGTAACTGAGAGTAGCAAAATCTGTGTGGAGGGTGCAAAATAATTTCCAGTTGTGGTCATCTATTCAGTGTGATGCTTGCAAGTTTCTCTTAAAAATAAATCGATACAAGCTTCACTGCAGGCTGTTTGGTTTTAATCCCTAATCTCTGTGTGGTTTGAATTAACTGCATACCAAAGTCCAGCTACATTTTACAGATTGCTATGAGGTATAGCATACTGGAAAGAAAGAAACAGGTCTCTAGATCCTGCTTCAAAAACAAGCCTTTCTACTTACTTTACATTGAAGACTCAGAGATTCCTGGAATGGATTCTTTTGATTTTTTTCCAGTTAGTGAAATTATGGTAGCAGCTCAGAATCTTTTCATCTAAACAACAATTTTTTCTTGCATGTGAAAGTAATTTCTGTGGCTCAGTGTGTGTTTGTGCCAATTGCTCTAGTGTAAACCTGGTTAGGGCTCTTGGTGTGGACCAGTAAATGAGGGTCATTGCATAGCGCTTAAGACCGCTTTTCTTTTTTATTGACCAATCTTTTTCTTTATCCGTAATTCACAGGTACCACTTCTAGTAGCAATACAATGGTAGCTCCCACGGATGGCAACCCTGACAGTAAACACATAAAAGACAATATTGAAGAGAAGTAAGTATCTTCTCAAAGAGTAGTTATTAGTTGAATCGCAGGAATTCCTGGTAGGTACTATAAATGCTTGCGTCTCAATGGCTCCAGGTATGTCTACATTGCAGGAAATACATGTAAGTTTTATAAAGAAACTTTGAGGAGCAGAACTGGAATACTATTTGGGATTAACAGTAGCGGCCTCAATTGTAATTTAAACTCAAAAAGCTGTGGAAGAAACGGAATACATTAAGGGACCAGTCCAGGTCAGGCTTTGTATTACTATAGCTAGATTGTTATTGATGCCTAAATTAGCTAATATTACACTGGATTGTATATGTTTACGTGAGAGAAATTATACTGCAGATGTATATGGATACATCAAGGGCAAATGTTATTAGTTCAGTGTAGCCAAATCACAAATTTGTTTCCTAGCTCACTAGAAATCAACAGTGTTGAACGCTGGTATATTCTCCTAGTGCGGGTATTTGGATGCCTGGTATCTATGACAAGATCCCTTCCAGCTAGTTTTAAAACAGATGCCCCTCTTCCTAATTTTTGCACTTCTTAAGAACAGTCTTTCGAGAAATTTGCGAGACAGTGGTACCCATGTGAGAGTGGTGGAAAGCAAACAGCTGACATAAAATTAGTCAGGGTGTGGACTCAGAGCTCAACAGTAACGGACTTTGGGCACGCTCTCATTTTGTGTTAAATATGAGATAGCTAACTTCAAAGTCAAAAGGGAGTAGGGATTCTATAACTAGCATGAGAAAAAGCATGCACAGAAAAATATGCACATAGGCCGACTGTAGAGTAGCTACTATGCAGTAAATTCACAAACCAGTTTATTTTGTGATGACTTGTTTGAGAGCCTTAGTAATTATATTTCCAATAGAATTTCCCAGTTGGACACTTGAATTATATTGGAGGGGTGGGGGCAGGACTGTATGAAAATAAATCACAGAAGACTATGGAATCTGAGGTGTCATTCAAAATTCAGCCTGGCAAGGCACAGACAAATATTTGGCTGCTATGGGGGCTGGAGCTGAAGAAACTTGTGAAGGCAGTTTTGAAAGTCTCTGCAAGTTTTGGCATATGCTGTAGGGTCGTCTAACACCTCCCCAGGGTATATGCTGCTTGATAAGATATACCATGTACGTCTTGGACTTGCCAGGAGGAGAGAATTTTAGAAACTTACGTAGAAACAGCTTGGAAATTGTGCTTTTAGCACTCATTTCTCTGATTTATTTACAGTTTATCAGATTAGCGAGGTAGGCTCTTGGACTGTGTGTATGGAGATAGGTACATATAGAGGAGAGATATATGTCAGTGCCAGATCAAATAGGCATTTCATTATTTCGCTCGAGTGAGAAGAAATTAATTTATGTATAATGATAAAAAAAAAAGTAATGTTCTTAAATGTTAATGGAAATGACCTAAACGAAATATAACTTATAGTAGGTTAACTCCTTGAATCCCCTTATCTAGCATTGCAACAGGAGGTGCATCTTATTCAGCTGAGATGCTTTGGCATCATAGTGATTGTCCTTGTAAGATGAAATATTTTTGCATAACACTTAGTTTTGTTGAAATACAGTTTTACTGACAGACCCTGATTAAATTTTGTTACAGAATGTCAGTTACTAGTGCTGCTTTATTTGTTCCTACAGTTACGTACATCTAGACATCTACAGTGGGTTGAACAGTAACTTAAACCGCCAGCACCACAGACTAGAATCTCGCTACAGCAGCAGCTCTGGAGGATCATATGAAGAGGAAAAAAGTAATATTTTTATTTAAAAATATTTCTGTGGATAGAAAACAAAATTTTCACAAGTTCATACTTTTGCTGAAGGTTATGGAACGTGAGGAAATAGGCATTATCAGTGGATTTTGCATGAACTTATTAAAAAATAAGTTGCTTTTTAGTACTGCTATTGAAGTCTAGCATACATTTGATTACAATGGCATGTGCAAGGAAGATAAATACACTTTCTTTCCTTCCCTTGTCCTCTGGAATGAGTTGTGAACATCTTCCCAAATGAAGCAGTTTTACTCTATTTTCTTTGCCAGTACCAACACCAAAGATAAGATAGACAGTTAAGCAGAAGAAACAGGAGAGAGACTAGGAGGAGGAAGATGAGATTAATGAGGAAAGAAATGATGGAAAAGAAGTTAAAAAAAATACAAAGTTAGAAGTAATTGTGCTTTTAAATTAAAGCAGTCTTTGTCCTGTTTGAAAAAAAAAAAAAAAGAGTACAAAACTTTCTGAGAAGCCATAGAAAAGGGAAGTATAGCAGGGAAAAGGACCTTGTTGTGTACCTCTAATTTTCAAGCTTTGTTTGAAAATATGTTTTGGGTTATTTTTTGTGATCTGTGGTCTGTTATTTCTGAGGTGCAGAGGTAAGGAAAGAGGTAGAAATTTCTCCTGAAACTCCATATACTTTTGGAGGCTTTTATTTAACGGAGACTTATTAACTGTTCGTACTTTCGTACCGGTGCCTAAGATATAAAATCATTGTGTCAGTGCTAGGGAGACCTAAACAGGCAAAAATGAGGACAGTGGTCAGACAGTAAATGATGCATTACATTAGTGGGTTCTTTATGCTTTGTCAGAGTACTTGTTCGACTGAAGCTTTTGTTTCAGCTAACAAGCTGTTAGTAATTAAAATGACTTTGTACTTTAACCCTGCATGGGATTACTGGATACATTTCAGTCTGATCTACATCATTATAGTGCTCCTACAGACTGTCTTCTTAGATTTCACTCATTTTTTTATTGGCAGTTGATGTTGCTACCAGTTAAGTCATTTGGGTATGGTACAGCGCATGATATAGCACTGCCTTTTCCATACCTTTCTTGTGCTACTGAACAACAGAATGCAAATTTCTGCATTTTGAGCATTGCCTGTCAGTGTGGAACCTAGTGTGTCCCATGCTGTATTGAAGCAACAGAGTCCTTTAGGATCTCCTTATGCACTCCTTAGTGACTGGATCTGTGTAGAGCGTAAAGGTTAGAGTGAATATGTAGTTTGTATTGTCTCTTTCAAGAAAATGGAACATAACGTACTCTGTAGAGCTTGTTGTAAAGTCTGGGCATACTGATGCGTATCTGCTAAACTTTGGGTCAGTAACAGGTTGGTGGACCTTCTTGACAGCCAATGTGTTTATTACTGCTTGGATGGGTGATGTCCAATATCACAATTGTGGTCATTTTCATCTTTGTTTGCTGTTCACGGTAGCAACACTGAGTACCCTGAAGCAGGTGATAATTCACATGTTCCATCAGTAAGAAGTTTGTCACTTCCAGTCAAGAAGGTAATAACAAGCTGACACAAGTGTGAACTTCTGAAACTTGTGCAGCTATACTTCTGAAAGGACGACTGATAGAATGACTGAAACACTGAACTGTTGAGGCAGTCTCATACCTGTTTCTAGCCTTAACTGATCGTTCTGAAGTCCAAGACGTCTCATGTGAAAACAGAAAAATGTTTTGGATGTCTTACACAGTATACTTGCATACCAAATAGCTGGTGTGTTTTTTCCACTTTTGAAGCTTGCTTAGTCGAAAACTAAATGTCTTTCTGTGTTTTTCTTGACAAATTTATTCAGTTTTGTGAAGCAGTGGGATTGGGCTATACTGTTGTAAAAGGAGCAAGTTCTGAGTTACCCCATATATCAGGCCAGCATTATCTTACACATAGAACTGGTGGATTTTTCCTAGCAAGACCTATAAAGAGATGATCTTGAGAAATAATTCCTTAGCCTATAGGGAAATGCAGCTCTTCAAAATGAGTTCAGTACGATCTAGGGACCCAGCCTTAACTCCCTATCTGACATGAGGTTTGAAATTCAAGGAATTATATTAGATCACTTTGCTTTTTATTCCTTATGTGCATCCATGTTCCTGATGTGCATCCATTGCTTTTATGAACCTGTTCAACAAAATCTTACTCTGGTTTGTGTGTGGCTTCTGTAGAATCATCCTTATGCTAAAAGAAATAACCACTTTGTTTTTTTAAACTGTGTCCAACTACTACTGTTTGCAGCTGGTTCCCCCTCGCCCCCTCCCAGATCTCAGCTTTTCAGGAATTTAAAAATATTTCTTTAGAAGACTATATAATTCAGAAATTTACTATATATGTATTTCTGATTTAATTATCTGTTGTGTTAGGTGATTCAATGCCTCTGTATTCAAACTGGCGGTTGAAGGTGATGGAGCACAACCAAGGAGAGCCTCTACCTTTCCCACCTACTGGAGGTTGCTGGTCACCATTGGTGGATTACTTGCCTGAAACTTCTCCTCCAGGCATGTCTCTTCACAGGTAACTGTTTTAACAATGCTGATGGCATTTCCTTACATTTTAATTTGTGGTGCACAAATAAGTAATTTAAAGGTAGGTGATTAAAAGGCAGTAGATTTAAACACAGTAGATGGTACATTTTTTTCTGGAGTTTTACTCACAGGTCCAGCAGTCTAAGATTTCTCAGCCTTTTAATTTGGAGGACTAAAGTTTTTCTATCTTCATTATAAGCGTTCACCTTTTCCCTTATAATATAACTTTGTGGATGTTTATAGACTTAAGGAAGAATACTGGTTAGTAGCATATTACGTTCTTTGCAGGTCTTCATAGAAGTTAATGCTACATTCTTCTAACAAACTATTTTTTTGTCTTTAGATGCAATATAGCAGTGATCCTTTTGACTGACTTGATAGTTGACCACGGTGTAAAGGTGGAATGGGGAGGATATTTGCATCTTTTGCTTCATGCAATTTTTATAGGTAACTAAATTCTTACAGAACTATGTCTGTAACTGTATGTCTGGTAACTTAGGAATTGTAGCTATTTATGTAGCTGTCCTTTTCCACATTTAAGTTAATGTTTGCCATTGTATTGAAATATCATTAATTTGTTAATATTTACAATACTTCACTTCTTTCTTCTTGTAGAAGACATGGTAAAATCCAGGTTTTTTTTCCTTTCTGTTCTTATTGCTGTGTGAGAAACAAGAGGATATATTAATCTTTGTTAAACTGTATGCTTTTGTTTTTATATTGAAACACTAAAGAAGCATTGTTTAGTGAATTATGTATCTGTTATTTGGTAAAGTATAACAGACCAGTTTGAATACTGGTATTTTTAAAATAATTTAATTCGGTGTTCCCTTCGAATGTAATAAAGCTCCTCCATTTTCCCTTTGTGTTAGGTTTTGACCACTGTCACCCTGAAGTCTATGAGCATTGTAAACGACTGCTTTTGCATCTACTGATAGTGATGGGATCTGGCAGTAATGTCCAGTCTGTTGCTTCTGTCCTACTCAGAAACAGAGAGTTCAATGAGTCCAGGGTGCTTACTGTCAAGCAAACTACCCATTTAGATTATACTTTCACAGGTACGCTTTGATTTATTAAGTGTTGCTTGTTAAAATGACACGGAAAGTTATCTTTTCTTCCAGGTATTATTAAAATTTCTACTATTCGTAATATTTTTCTGAGCCCTTGGCATTGAAATGTATTTCTTCAGATTTTAATTAAGTCAAAATTGATATGGTTCACGTTAGCACTTTGTGCCCAGTCATCTGAGTAGGGAGCACGGTCAAATGATTAAATAGTAGTGGAAACCACAGAGGGAGTGGTATGTGTTGAATCCGTAATACAGCAGTTTTTATGATGCCCTTGAAAATACAACAGAAGAAGTTACATTTCTTCCTTGTTTGTAGCAATTTAAAATTTCTGACTGTTGTCAACTGTAATTGCATTGTTCAATAGATTATCACAATACTCTTTTGAGATATTACCTATTAATGTTCACCTTAACATTAAAACATTGTAATTATACAGGAAACAATAAATTTTCTATGTATCTATCTATGAAAGGAATATTTTGATGGTGTGAGCCTATTGTTTCTAAAGAAATGTAAAACAGTTCTTTTTTTTTTTTGAAACTTAGTATTTCATGTTATTTCAGTAGGTGGCAGCATATTGCTATACAATCTGTTTGTTCTGGTTTGGTCACATCAGAAGTGTTTTTTCACTAACCAAAAAGTTTCATATATTTTGTTTGTATATTTGATAGTCATAGCAATGAGAAATTAAAAAGTGGGCATAGTGGAAGAATTCTTTTATGTAAACCAATTTGCAGAACCTTACAGGTGCACCTATATATGGTGCATATATATGGTGACCTATACAAACCATTCCATTCCTAGTCTTTACAGTTTGGGGTAAAACCGTCTAAACACAACACAGTATTTTGCTGTTATTAAAACAAAAATGTTTGATAGAAACTAGAATAAGATCAGCATCCATAATTTCCAGCTGGTGGTTAAGATAAGGTGATTACAGGTATGCATGCCTAGCACGGGGTCAGATAAGCTAATGTTAATTTTTATGTGAAGCAGCTAATACCCCAGTCCAAACCCTGGGGCTCTGTAGAGTGAAAATTTGTGGTGGATGTCAGTGAGTCTCAAGCTTATGTACAGTTGTTAGTCAGAGGTTTGCAACCCACTTTTCCTTGCCAGTTTACTTCCTTCCAGCACCTCATACATATATAGAGGTATAACGTGAGGAGTTACTGCAGTTGTATTTTATTGCCATGTGATTCTTTACATGGAGAGAAAAATCTTCCAGCAGCAAATCAAAGCTAACTTCAGAGAAATTTTGTGCAGCCAGAGGTGCTCTGCTTAGAGTCGAGCCACTAGCTAAAACTTAACTGCTCACCAATTTAAACCGCCATCATTTGCACTGGGACTGAGTTTTAACAAAAAAACCACAAACCTGCGCATTATTAGGAAGTAGTTTATATTGTTTGTCTCAACTTATTAAGATGAGATGCCTCAGAAGCCGATGAGCTGTCATATGACCAATACAAAATCAAATATAATACAGTGGTTTTAAAAAGGCATCTGGCAGTTAAGGGTCCGGTCATGTGAAGACTTTGCATATATCAGACTTGTTGATTTCATTGAAATTATTGCATCTATTAAATTATTATGTTTGCTAAGTTACTGACTTTTTTTAGAGGGCTATTTTTTTTAATATATATTTAATATGAACTGTCAACTTAAGACTGCATAATCATCTTGTTTTTATTTCAGCAGGTGTTCATGATTTTATACCTGATTACCAGCCCTCCCCAATGACAGACTCAGGGCTTAGTTCAAGTTCTACCTCTTCTAGCATCAGTTTAGGAAATACAAGTGCTGCCATTTCTCATCTGCACACCACCATCCTCAATGAGGTTGACATTTCAGTAGAGCAGGATGAAAAAGTGAAAACTCTCATAGAATTTATTACCTCAAGGTAAGATTTCAACTTTCATTTTTGTCAAGACGTGTATTTTGTGGAAATATGGTAAACCCATACTATTTAGTGTCACATTGTCTAATTCTGTCTCTGTTAAGTCACCGGTAAGAGAGAATTTAATTCTGAACTGTTTTTATGTGATACAGCCCATGAACAACTCTAACTTCTGAGAATTTTGGCCACCCTTTCATGTCCTGAGTGTTTAAAAGTCTTTAGTCACATTCTACACAGGTCTGTTATCTTTACTTGCCACACAGTTTATAGAATTCTCTCTTCCTAAAGGATTAGGGCTGGAATACATAAAGATGATTAGGGAGCTGCAAGATTTGTGTGGAGTTTATGGATTACTTAGTAGTAGAGAGCTGGCTGTTCAAAACCCCAGAATTTGTGGCAAAGAACATCTGTAAATCCCTCAATGCTTGTGCAGTTTGTATGATAGTTTATACAAAGCTTTCAAGATTGTGTAAATCTACAATCCTACCCATTTCTCAAAGCTTTTGATTACTTACGCTTTACATCAGCCTGAATTTAGAATAGTGTGGTGTATTAACGGGAAGAAAATGGGAAGAAAGGAGGTTGTTTGAAGAGGCGTTATAATAGTGTTAGTTGCACTGGTTCTTTGGTAAATAACTAAATATTACCTAACAGAGACCATCTCTTCCTAAACTTATGCTGTTACTTCAGTTGGATCTGATATATTGCTTTTCACCTTGTCTTAACTTTTGTATATCGTTGTATAATAGAGGGCAGTTGTCAAACTTCTTTCCAATTTGTGTCTGCAGTTCTAAATGGTTTCTTTTATGCGGTAAATAATAGATTCTTTTGCAGTTAACCTTAGGGTTAAAATGGCATTTAAATGGTATTAATGACAAAGGCTGTGTTTTATATTCTGTCATGTTTACTCTATTTTTATATTTTTAGGAAAAGAGGCCCACTTTGGAATCATGAAGATGTTTCGGCCAAGAACCCTAATATAAAAAGTGCTGAACAGTTAACTGTGTTTTTAAAGCATGTGGTATCTATATTTAAACAGTCTAGCTCAGGTATGTTAGAAAACAGTCAATGCATGACAGAATGTCCAAGTCTGCAAACTAAATGGATTTTTTTGAATGCCTGTAAATTTACAGGTTGTCTATAAAATCACTCTAGGTGATCGCTTACTGCTTTTAAATAATAGATTTTTCTTGTGTATTGCACACTTCAGTTCATGTTTCTATTATTAAAGATTTAAATATAATCTTTTAGGAGTTAGATAAAATATATTATTAATTTATTGTGGACACTTAATATTCAAATTGTAAATGTTTTATTCTGCAGAAGTCTCTTCAGTGCTAAGTATTATATACAAGTTTATGTGCCTGGAAAGATTTTTGAGAGTAATACTCCTTGAGAAAAATGTAGAAGATGAGACTATCTTAAAGTTAGGAATGACTTTGGCAATTTAATCTTCGTTAAATTCAAGTGGGTTTGTGTTTTATAAAACATTGTGTTGCTTGAATATTTATTTGCTTTTATAGGAGGATTTCAATTGGAACACCGTCTCAGTGAAGTTGCGCTGCAAACTGCGCTTTCGTGCTCCTCTCGGCATTATGCTGGGAGGTCCTTTCAGATTTTCAGGGCTCTGAAGCAGCCTCTTACTGCATCTACGCTTTCTGATGTTCTCTCCAGACTAGTAGAGACTGTTGGAGATGCAGGAGAAGAAGCTCAGGTATTTGAAATTTCCCCCCGACTTTCCCCCAGACTTAGAAAGCTAAGTCTGCCTAAATGACATACCTGCATTGTTATTTCAATGGCAGTAAAGTTTAAAAGCATTTTTTATTCAGTGGCTTTTTGTTTTTAAATAAAGATGTTTCAGATATCAAAACAGCTTTAACCGTGACGCTTTCTGAATTTGCACCTAATTAAATGATGAAAAGATGAGTTGTGCACATTCTCTACTACAGCAATAGGAACTTTCAGAGAGTCTGATACATCTGTTTCCTGAAAACTCTTCATAGTTAGAGAATTCTGAGATCAGGATTCTCTGATTCCCTGAAAACACCTTTCGTAGTTAGAGGATCCTGTGATCAGCCATATAAAAAATAATCTAGATTTTCTTTTATTAAGAGCTTAACCGTAGTAACATTGTATTTCTTTAGAAGTGGATCTGATCTTTTAATATTGCAAAATGAGAGTCTGAATGACTCCATCCTTAAAAATAATGCAAATAAGAATGAATTCTGTGAATATGTAGAAATAAATTGTGTTGAAGCTATGCTGCTAATTTCAGCTGTCTCATCAGGATTGTGTTCTAATTGAAGCATGAAATAATAATGTAGTTATTGATACCAATGTTATATTTTTATATCACTACTCCATAGATTTTCTGTGATCTTTCTTGTGCATATTGTGTAATTTACAATGATCTGTGGCTTTCCCCAGGGTTTTGTCATAGAACTGCTTCTGACCTTAGAGTCTGCTATTGATACATTGGCTGAAACCATGAAGCATTATGATCTGCTTTCTGCCCTTTCTCAGTAAGTTCCTTTATTAGTCAAGCTACATTACACATTTTTATACATTTGAATTATTAAAGATCTGTATTACAAATGTAATGAAATAATTTCTTGTTGTCTTTGCAGAGTATTTGTATCTTTACAGCAAAATTGCTTGCTCTTTCATGTTTTTATCATTCTGCCTCAAGCAAAACTCATAAGAATCTAGATTTTCTGAAAAGAATCTCTACCTTTCCAACTTACCCTCTTGGGTCCAACTTAAAAATAAACAAAACCCCAAACCAAAACAAAAAACGATGTTAAAGGTGCTCCTGAAGGCTCAGTTATGAAATGTCAGTTATTTGGAATCTTCTCAAAAATAAAGGCACTGAGTACATTTAGAACTTTTTTTTTAATCAGGCCCTACTGACCTTGAATTTTTCTGGGGCTTATTTTTTCCCCTGTGTATAATGAAGGTAATGGCACCAATCTTTAAAAGATAATTTAAGATAATGTAAGGTTCATAGATGAAAACTCCTGTACTGCAATAAATACTTCTATTCCAGAGTTAATACGGAAGAAATTTCTTCAGTTACAGCAAATGCTAGTCTTTTTTAGGCCTCAGATTTGTTGTCCGTATGTGTGAGAAGTGTAATTGAACAGTCCAATTCATTTGTTTATCTCATTACAGTCTGAGTGGTTAGCTCAATGACTTTTTATCACACTGAAAAAAATCCCTGAATGTGCAGACATCTTTATTTGTTTGATTTCATGGCAAAGGTTTTGAAAATGTTGAGATTTCTAGGAATGTATTCAATTTCTCAGTATCAGAACTGGAAGGTGTTGGTTTTTCTAGGTCAGATACATCAGACAAATATAAGGTAATAAGTAAATAATTTCATTTATTAATTCATTCATTTCTCTACCTTTATCCCATCTATAAGTAAGTTGGAACGCTAGCTCTTCATTTACAGATAATATTTACATGCTATAGGCAGGCTAATTTTTCTGATATTACTGAATTGTTATGGAACTATTTTGATGTTCTGGGATTGTAGCTAATAGATTTGGTGGGAGACATAACGGAATGCTACAGTCTTGTCCTTACGCTGTGAGGATATAGTAATATATATAGAAATTCTGTATTTTCATATATTCTAATACTCTTCTGGTGATGAAGCGGAGTATTCACACTGTGTGTGTATATATGTGATTAGTGTAACATCTTTTTCCTTTCTTCCCTTTTTCTAAACTGTATGTTATGAAATATTTTGCATGGAATAATACGTAATACTGATTTTTATTTCAGAACCTCATACCATGATTCTGTAATGGGAAACAAGTATGCAGCTAATAGGAAAAGCACTGGACAGATAAATCTAAGCACAAGTCCCATCAATAGTGGCAGTTGTTTAGGATACTACGGCAATACAAGGAGTAATTCTTTGAGACTGAATTTAATCAGTGAGCGGAGAGGCGACCGTCGACGGAGCAACACACTGGATATAATGGATGGCAGGATAAATCATGGTGGAAGTTTGGCAAGGACTAGAAGCCTTTCCTCCCTGAGAGAGGGAGGGATGTATGATGTGCAGCCTACTACTGACCCTGTCAACTTGATGGCCACCATATTTTGGATTGCAGCTTCGTTGCTAGAGTCAGATTACGAGTATGAATACCTTTTGGCTCTCAAGCTACTCAACAAGCTTCTTATTCACTTGCCTCTGGATAAATCAGAGAGTCGGGAAAAGATAGAAAAGGTGCAGAATAAACTAAAATGGAATAACTTTCCAGGCCTTCAGCAGCTTTTCCTGAAAGGGTTTACTTCAGCATCTACTCAAGAAATGACAGTTCATCTCCTCAGTAAACTCATCACAATTTCCAGGCATGCTTTGGTGGATCCTTCTCAGTTAGCAGGTATCTTTAGTAACTTCTATATGTCATGAAAATGTATTTTTTCATCAAATTAAGTGTAATCAAAATCAGTAGTGATTATGCATTTGCCTTTAAAAAAACACCCTTCAGTTAAATGCTTTTTGCAGTTGTCAGTACTGCAGTGCTAGGTAGTGGGAATACGTTACAGGCTATGATTATCTGCCAAGAAATACTGCATGAAAACTTCATGTATTATCTTACTTTAAACTTGCTTGCAAATTTTAAGAGCACGTGTACGATTTTTCATGATCTTGTGCTAAATAGCTCAATTAGTACTATTCCAAACATTTGCACATTTTTGAAACAATGTGACTGTACTGCCTAAAGCTATCCAGTTTCATGATAGTTTTGCTTAATTGTTCCAGTGATGATGCTAGTTTCATCTTATGCATTTTTATACCTATACACAGACACATTTATGTACCTTCTACATACATACACGCTTAGGTACATGTGTGTATATATAATTTATATATCTGTGTGAACGTATGTGTATCATGCTCTAAGGGTTCTTAAATACCAAAAATCTGTTATATGTTCACAGAACTCCACATTAAATTAAGTCATATTAAAATCTTTAGGGCTCATGTAACTGGTTTTATATGTGTGTGTGTTTAGGATTTCCCCTAAACATCTTGTGCCTACTTCCTCATCTGATCCAACATTTTGATAACCCAACTCAGTTCTGTAAAGAAACAGCTGACAGGATAGCAAAGGTATGTAAAATGATGCCTGGGAAGTATCCAGGAGTTTATTACCTGCATTGCTGTATTTTTCTGCTCCCTTATGCAATACTTTCACATGATTCTAATAGTCTCATAGAAATACCTCTAAAAGGTTGCATTTTAAAGATGTGATCCAGTCCTAATTTATATAGTTGGTCCTCATACAACCATTGAGTTTCCCTTTGTCAGTGAAAAAACACATTTTGCTTATTCTATAAACTTTAGATAGAAAGAACAAGTTTACTTGTTAATGATATCAGTTGCTTTTTCTTACTTGTCTGATTTTGCAGCTTGTAATTTTAAATACAAACTTAATCAATTTTTAAGCGCAATTCCTAGTTTACTGATGATAGGGAAGTGATCCTTACCTTTCGGGCGGGTAGGTAGAGAAGAAAAGGTGCTATTTTCTTTTTATTAGCTGTACACAGAGGTTAACCTTGGAATATTTCTGAATGGTAGTGTCTGTTAGAGCAGTACACGGACACACCAACAATCTCCAGCCAGCCTGCATTTTAAGGAAGGATGTGAAAAGGGGAATAAGAAAGTGGTGTCTGTCAGAGGAGATGCAGTCATAGCCCTTCGGCTGCCTAAAGCGTGATGCGTAAATCACTTAATTGTGCTCAGGCCACCTCAGAGCAGTACCTGCCTGATGCAAATCCAGCAATTGCTGCTGTCCCCTAAATACCTGCACTACTAGCTAGGGACGCTAGTTGAGGTAAGTTTGGTATGAGTGGTAGATAAACTTGGAGCATGGATGCCACAGTACCAAAATTCAACAGAAACTGTAGGTGTTGCTCGTATGATTAGTTTGATTTCAGTTACTAGAAGACTGAGTGAAATCTGGGGAAAGTACACAATGACTTGTGAATGCTTAGGTTAAAAATTTGTCACTTCTAATATAATGAAATCCGCCTTTTGCTTTTCAGGTTTGTGCAGAGGAGAAATCGCCAACTCTTGCCAATCTGGCGCATATGATGAGTTTATATAGTACACACAGTTATTCCAGAGACTGTTCTAACTGGATTAACGTAGTGTGTAGATATTTGCATGACTCTTTCTCAGATACCACATTTAACCTCGTAACTTATCTTGCAGAGGTAAATTTTTAATAATAGCGTATCTCATGTTGACAGTTTGTGATCAACGTTACATTCACTTATTGCCAATTCCTTATTTGTCATGATTCTGAATATTGGGAGGGGGGGAAGCACATCTTCTGTAATAGGAGAGTAATGCTAAAATGTTCTAGGATATGGAAAAGGGATGACTTCTGCCATTTTGGAATGCAACAATTTAAATGTACCTTGAAATGATAATCTCTCTAATGAAAGATCCCTTTTTATGATAGTAGTGTTTTGTAGTTGATACTTACATTCCGTACCAGATGAATAAAAGGCGCACAGTGTCTTGGCTTTAGCAAAATATACTTAGTGCAGATTTTAAGAGATCTTATTTAGACAAGTACACATTTAAAGATGTCCTTATCACAACCTAAAAAAAATAATTTCAAAGTTGCATTGTAAGTATTGCATAGTATATAATCACAGATCATTTAAATTATGGAATTCAGGACATGATTCTGCCAGCCATTCATACAGGAAAACTGTTATTGCCTTTAAAAAAGTACGTTGTGTGAAAAGCTTGTAGAGCTTGTCCTTGAAGTATATCACTTCAAACTGAAGAATATTTTTTTAAATATTTGTACATTCTCACGAATGACTTTATATGTACTTATTTTGTTCATAAGATTGTGTTTACCAGCTTTCTTTAAGGTGTAGATATAGTTGTTTTTCATACAGCTTTGAGGTGTTGAATTTGTATGAATACTTCTATTCAGTGAGAAGTGTTTTATTATTAGGTGCTTTATATCTGTGCTAACAAATATGTCAAAATTCAGGGAAGAAACTGAATTAGGACGGAGAATGTTGTTCTATTGCATTACTTTTTCTTAATGCTAAAACAAAATTTTGAAAAACATGAAGTGGTACGCTTAAGTTTCTTGAAGGGAAAAATAAATACGTATGGAACTTCACTGTATTTTAATGTTTGTTTTCACTTTTTGCTACCATTAAAGGCCCTAATTAAATTCTGTATTTTAAAAAAACTCTTTTTTAGCTGTTAGAGAAAGGGTTATCCAGTATGCAACAGTCCTTACTGCAGATCATTTACAGTCTTCTGAGTCATATTGACCTATCCACAGCACCAGTGAAACAGTTTAATCTGGAAATCATAAAAGTTATTGGTAAATATGTTCAGGTAGGTACTCTGAAAAACTATAAAAGCCTTTCTGCTTATTATCGAAGTGGTTGTGAATTACTCTTGAATTTTGGGGTGAATTAATTTATTTTTGACGGTGTATTTGTCCAGCTTGGCTTGCATCACCTGCGTGAATGTGCGTCTGTTTAAAGATATAGGCAACTCTATACATGTAGTTAGAGATGATCCTTCAACTATTAAAATATAAGGAAATGTTTACTGCTAAATATTGCACAAAAGTTTTATTTACGTGTATATGTTTTCAAAAAGAAGTTTTACAGTTAAATGCGTGTTTAAATCACTTTCACTAATATATCTGTGAGGAACATGAAGGTACACCTTAATGAATTAGAGTGCATTTTTTATTAAAGAAAGCCTCCGAAGATGAACAACAGTGTTTTGCCTTAGGTAATTTGATCCTTTGTACTTGGAACACAGTTTACTGAAAAAACTCTTGTGCAGAAGGAGGTCTAGCATCTTGCTGAAAGGTTTTATGAAAATGCCTGGAGCATAAAACCATTTCAGTGCATGACATTCTCTTTTTTTTTTTTTTTTCCCCCTCTCCTTTTCTTTTTTCCTGAATTCCATTATTACCAAATGTATTTCAGTCAAATGGTTTAATCATAATTAACCAGGAGGAGTACTGTTCCTGGATGTTTTGTTATTGATGGATGTGTACTTTAGATATTGTGCTCCTGTCAGAGTGCATTAGGCTAAATGGAATGATTAGCATAACTATAGTGTTCATGGCCTGACGGCTGCTTGCTTTGCTCTAACCTTTATCTGAGCTTTTGATGCAAGCCCACACTACCATGGAATGTAATCTTAATTACAAGTAACATCTTCTATCAAAATAATGGTAGCAAAAAAATATTCCAGAGAAGCCTATGTATTGTTGATACGATAATACATGTTACTACAGACGACAAAAGAAAGGATCATAAATGAACATGTCTTGTTTAAATGTGGTGCTACTAAGGTGATTTTTTTTAGTCCTCTGCAATCACAATGCATCTTACTAAATTTGAAATGCTACAGGAATGGTTCAAGTTTGAGACTAGTTTTTTATGTTTATGATGCACAGAAATTCGGGAGATTGCTGAAGAATCTCATTGCCTACAAAGAAGCCTATACTACTTAGAGCCTTGAAAGTGGTGTTCATTTTTTTAATGCAATAAAAAAAATATTTTAACAAACATGGCATCCTGATTTAAAAAAAAACAACCAAACCAAACAACAACAACAAAAAAAAACCCCAAACACAGACATCCTGCTAATTTCAAAAACTGGAATATTTAAGTTTCAAGCAGAATCCTAACACTTCTCGGGAGTGTAAATCTTAACCTTCCCAAGGTGTAGGTTTTGGTGTAAGTCTCTTCTGTGATCCACTCCACAATCTCTGTAGTTGAAACTGCTGAATTATTTATATTACCTTGATCATCTTTTTAAGGAGAGCGCACTTAACTCGGGCTCTGTCTCTTATGTTCTCATACTTTTGCCCTGCCTTTTTTAAGCACTCCATCGGTTTGATACTGTATAAAAACCTTGTAAATGTCTTGCTTTTCCTTTCTTTCTTTTTTTTTTTTTAAGATCTTTGAAATGTATGGGGAAATATAAAGCACAAAATATTTTTGTCTGTTTCAAATTCAGTTTACTCTGCCCATAAGTGTAAAATAATTACCGATGCCAGGAGGTGGAAGTTGCTTTGCTTTTAAATGCCATCAGTTTTTATCTTGTGGGGCATGAAGGGCAGATACTTCAGACAATGGTAAAAAACATAGTGTAAATACAGGGAGCAGAGGACATGGTATGGGATCCAGTGCGGCTGGCACTGCGACATGGAGCTAGTGAGCCTGCCTGGCTGGACCTGACCGCCCACCGTGGGGTGACCTGGTGTCACTGCCTTCCCAGCAGTTGAAGGTCCACAGCTGCCCACTTGTGCCAGCACCTTGCACCCACGTGTAGAAGATGATTAGAGCTTTTGGGTTTGGGAATCTTGCAATGAAGCAGTGCAAAATCCAACTGTACGTTAAAAATGTCTGTCTTGTTTGAAGTGATCGTTTTGTGATTTATGTGTGTTCTCTTTAGAGTCCATATTGGAAGGAAGCCCTTAATATTTTGAAACTTGTGGTGTCTCGATCAGCAAGCCTTGTTGTACCTAATGATATTCCAAAGTCTTACGGAGGCGACATAGGTTCTCCTGAAATCTCTTTCACAAAAATTTTTAATAATGTCTCTAAGGAGCTACCTGGGAAGACCTTAGATTTCCATTTTGATATATCAGAGGTAATTATTATATTTAAATTACAATGCAATAATGACTTTCTGCTGGCATTCTGCATTTATACGATTTAAAATGGTTATCATTTTTAAGAATGGCAGATGTTGAAATTTTATGTGCATGTGATCAAAGTCATAATGAAAGATAAACTTTGGATTTCTTCTGTGTTGTGTTTTTGCCTTTTCCCCCTTTGAATGTCTGGAGAGTTAATTACTAAAAGTCAATAGGATTATTCTCAAGGGTATTTCAGCTGTGTCAGAGAGCCGGCTGATGCAGCTGGCTGCTGCTTGCAGCTGAACGTTCCAGGCTTTCATCAAATGAAGGGTTGTGTGTTCAAAGGCTGAGAGGATTAAAACCCTGGACTCCAGTTTTGGCCTGACTTTGGAAAGGGGAGAAAATTTAGAGGAGAAAGTAGGATACAGAATATAGGAACCCTCAGTGTGAGACGGACACAACTGGAGAAAAACTCCTTTAGTTAAAAACAACACCCCTGCCCCCCAATTAGAACTGAAAATAATCTGTTTTGTTGTTACAGCTGACACTCATTCTGTGTCTGAAAAGGGGAGCATAGCCGAATTACTGCAGTCTAATACAAGGATCTGAAAGCTGTGGAAACTTCAGAAGTAGTCAAAAATAAGGGCTTCTGGTTGAAGCTGACCCTAGTTAATGAATGGAGATTATAAGTGTCTTAGGAGCATTACTTAAATTGTTAGTCTTCTATTTAAGTGAATTCCTTACTGGAAATTTCAGTGCATGCAGATAATTCAGAGACAAGATGAATTCCCGCAGAGTTCATTGGAGTAGCATTTGCTGTCAGAAGGGCTGAGTTTGGTCCTTGGTTTTCAGAAAAGTGCGTGTTAGTGAAGTTGCTGGTCTGTGAAAACAATTTGTTCACGTCTGAATGAGTCTATAAAGAAAATCTGCATCTTTTAAACTTAGAACACAGTTGTTTTTAAAATGTGTTTAAAAAATATACATTGTCAGCATATAACTTGCATAATTCAAAAAATCACAAGTGGGCAGAATGGCAGCCTGCTGCGTAGGGTAGAAGTATCCAGTTTTGCATTTGCCAGTGTACTGATGCTCAGTGGATTAGGCATGGGCTTCATAATACACTTACAAACAAACAAACAGACAAACCCTCCTACATTTTATACAATACTAAATTCTAAAATCAAATGTGTAGTCTTTGCTAATATGGATTTGAATTTTAAGAAAGCATTTGTTGTCTTTGATAGACACCAATTATTGGGAATAAGTATGGTGATCAACACAGCGCAGCCGGTAGGAACGGGAAACCCAAAGTCATTGCTGTCACCCGGAGCACTTCTTCAACTTCATCAGGCTCCAATTCAAATGCATTAGTTCCTGTCAGCTGGAAGAGACCACAGCTATCTCAGGTACATTGTGTCTCAAGCACATTATACATATCTCATAGACAGGGTTTATGAATGTATTAAAAAAAATATTGTTGAAATGTAATTTGACGTTTATACTGTGTCTTAGCAAAAGAATAAATGAATATAGCATAAACTAAAAGCTGTACTATAAACTGGTGAAAAGAAAAAATGGTAAGATTCTTTTTAGAGGATGCAGCATGTGAGATGACTAGTTAAAAGTGCAGACATTTTACATTTTTACCCAGACCTCCAGCGGATGCCTTGCTTGCTATGTGATTTTCTTTGGTATATTTTTCAGAGAAGAACTAGAGAGAAGCTAATGAACGTGCTTTCTTTGTGTGGTCCGGAATCTGGTCTTCCCAAGAATCCTTCAGTAAGTGGTGATGGTGGTTTGCTTTCGTTTTTAAATTCCAGTGAGTACAGTAGAAGTAAAGTTAAAGTGAGTAGCCTACCTTGGTTATCATCTAGAATATTGTTTTTTATTATGACACAGAAGTTCTTAGCTGGGGAAAAATATTCACGGGAGGTGGATCTTTAATCTGGTGGAGGAGGTTAAAATAAATACAATTAGGTGCCTGAAAGCTGAAACTGAAGAGATTTTAAAAAAAAAGTCAAGTGGAAATAGACAGCAAATCGTGAGTTGTGAAGATTATTATCACTGGAATCCAGCATTGGATGCATTTTTAAAGGTATACAGTCCCTCCACAGAAATTGGTAGGCAAAAATTACATGGCCTGTGTCCTGTGGATGGGTTTTTTGTTATTAAGCTTAAATAAGATTGTGATTATGAAAATGAAGGTTCAGGGATATATTTTTCTCTTTATTTGTACCTTTGCAACTCAGTTACATTAAGGAGGGAATGATATCTCTAGTTTAAATATGTAGTTTAAAATCCAGCTAGCCTTGAAACAAATTGCAGTCTGCACTTGCCTTAGTATTACCATTATAGTGGTAAGCTAACTGCCACTAATGCCATTAAATTGTGGGAAGCAAGACAGCTGACTTCTGAAGTTACAGAATTTGGAAGTTTCTGGTTTTACCCATACCTGCAGGTTGTCTTTTCTTCTAACGAAGACTTGGAAGTTGGAGACCAGCAAACTAGCCTTATTTCAACAACAGAAGAAGTGATTCAAGAGGAGGAAGTGGCAGTAGAAGACAATACCAGTGAACAACAATTTGGAGTTTTTAAAGACTTTGACTTTTTAGATGTTGAATTGGAAGATGCAGAGGTGAGACCTTGGGATTTCTTCTGTGTATTTCCATTTGAGAACGTTTTACAAATTAGGTTATGTTGGTGCAATTCTAAGGAATTGGCAGCTCTTCTAACTAATCCAATTGGGAAGAATTTATGATGTGATTGCACTTAACTTGCACCATAAAGAAACCTGTGTCTCAAACTTTGCAGTGTTAAGTTGTTGCAAATTGTTGGGCGTTTTTTGGGGAGAGGGTTGGGATTTCAGGGGGAGGGTTAAGTGACTTAACCTGAAAGTGAAGTGATATGACAGTATAAGCCAATGACAGGATGAACACCTGGGTGTGATGCAGTAGAAAACTTACTTTTGGAACAATATGTTAAGAAAATGGCATAATCTTTGTTCCTGATATGTTTCTGCATTTTGAAAACATGAAGAATAGCTTTCAAAGTTAAAAACTGTATGATATAGTATCTCGTTATATACAGTTGACTCTGGCACCATAATTGCTTGCATTGCCTTTTACATTATATCTGGTGTGTTGCAGTTCTTACATTTCCTTCGCTTCTCCTCCTGTCAAAAAAGAGAGAGGGGAGGTAAAAAAAATGAAGTATCAGGAAATAATAAAGATTCTGTTAATAATTGTTACTTTTGGGGGATAAATAAAAGGCTTCAGACCAGAATTTGCTAAAGCTTAAAATATGACTGTAAAAGGACTGGGGAGAAGAAATCAAATGCTTCGTAGTTTCTTTCAGTGCTTTGTTGCAGTCTATACGAAACATTGAATTAGTAGTGGAGACCCTTGCAGGTCAACAAGCTACTAAGAAGAGCATCTGCCTATCTAAACCCTAAGATTGTTCTCCTCCTGATTAATCGAGCCCTTTTCACAAAATCTTACTCCCCTCCCCCAGTACTTTAGTTTTATCTCACTTTATTCATGCTTCCTGTATATTGCTTCACTTCAGCCAGTATTTGCATCTTCTAGGAAAAGTACAGGCTCATTATGGTCTACTGCATATATGTGACCACACACTATACAGATACACTTTCCTATACTGAATACAAGTAGTCAAAACAGTTCAGCATCAAGGCTCAGTCGTAGTAAAACATTAATTTAACACTAGATGGGGCTTTGCAGGTAGGATGCCAAAAGTTGAAAACTTTGCCAAACTAAGTTACTCTAGAACTTCATTTTCTGTATTATTTTAATAGCAGATCATAATGGAGAAAAGACAGTTTCTTTCTCATTACTTGCCTGTACGCAACATGTAGTGCTATACTTGCAAAAAAGGAAAAAGCACAGCTTGTACAAATTTGGGGCATTACATATAAATTGTCCACTTGATATAAGACCTGCCTAGTTTTGCACCTAAAATATAGAATGTTTTTTGTTGCTAATAATTAAATGTCAACAGTATAAACTGGTGCTTTTACATTAAAATCTGAGTAATATTCAGATTAAACTTAAGTCCTTCAGCCCACAGAAGTAGTACTTTGTTGGGATTCTTTTGCTTTGCCATAACTTCACCTTTTTGGAGCAAAACAAATCACTTAGAGAGAAGGAGACTACAACATGTTTAGTTTGCTTCGCATATTTAACGCATCATGATGATCTCTTCAGTCACCACAAGAGACACTCACCGTTAGTGCAGTTTTGGAACCCATACTTGCACACTCGGGCGCTAGATGTGGTATTTTCAGAACCGTCTGTGGACTGGCGAAGTGATGTGATCGGGTTTTCCATCATACTTAGATGAATTGCTGAAGGTTGACAAAGCGCTTGAGAAAACCAAAGACCATTATTGTACTTGTGAATTGAAACACCAGTGTTCTTAAGATACGGCTTTCACTTAGTGTGTTGGATGTTTGAAACCCAAGTATCCCAGCATTAAAATGCGCAAACAGAAAGGATCCAGCTATCGGTGTTTAGGGTGCATTTCATAAAACTGACACAAAGTAGCTGGTAAAACAGTTAATGAAGACATCAGCTTTTCTACAACCTGTATATAATTAATGTTGATGATGCTTTGTCAGTTGGATGTGGTCAGTTTAGATTCATGTCTGTTAGTTAAAGAATTTCATCTAATGTCTGTTGCAACAGTTGCTTTACATGTTACACTAGAGAAAATGTATCATAAGCATGCTGGTTTTAGTGTTTTGTCGTCAGTTTGTTTATTTTCTTAATCAGTCTCCCATTAGAAAGAGGAATTATTTTAAATACTAGCTTTTTGACTAAAGCTTTTTTCAGAGCTTGAATCAGTCTTTTACTGTTGGCAAATCTTATGTAATAAAACATTTTTCCCTGGTTCTAGAGTATCTTTAAGTGTTTGTCCTCGTTCTTTCTAATTATATGTGTTTTCCTTTTTGCTAACCAGGAGCTGCAGGTAAGTTGCAGCCTGGTGCCCTGGCTTGTTCATCTGTTGTTGTCTGTGGTGTGTTTGTATTTTCTAGTCAGATATATAAAATTGATGCTGGTATAGTTCTAGATGATATATCGAGTTACTTTCCAAGAAGGTATTCAAAAGATTTCTACTTCGTTTGCCATACATTTTAATTTATTTACAAACATAATTTAACAAGGTCTTTAAAATTTTAAATTAAAGGGCTGATTGAAACTCTGTTCATAATGCATTCAGTATTCGTGTCTTCTGTGTGGCATTTGTGTATTAATTTTATTATGTTGAAATACATACATACATATGTGTGCAATTTTTTTTTATTACAGGGTGAAAGCATGGACAACTTCAACTGGGGCGTTCGTAGACGCTCTCTTGACAGTATTGACAAAGGAGACACACCGTCTCTTCAAGAATGTCAGTACTCCGGTAGCACACCCAGCTTGAACTTGACCAACCAGGAAGATACTGATGAGTCTTCAGAAGAAGAAGCAGCCCTGACTGCAAGTCAGATACTGTCTCGTTCACAGGTGGTAAATCATTTTACTGTGAAAGGAATCTGAGAACTTGAGCTTTTACGTGCAGTTTTAGTGGAGAAGCGTGGCTCACGCTTTCGGCCTAAGTGAGTTAAAGAGGAACTAAATTAATGTGGCTAAGCTTCTTTTTCATAACAACATCAACAAAGAGAAAGAGTTACTTTACCTACTGGTGGTACATAACAGGCATATAATTCTAGGGCAACATTTTTTTTAGTGTCTTTATGCTTACTACATTTGTTTAAATACAAGCACAGAATTGCATGTGTTATATAAAAAGTGCGTGTGTCTTTGTGGATTCCTAGCTTCAAAAAAACCCTAAAATACTACATAGGAACAAGATCAGTAAGTGATCCCGTGGGAGCTTCAGTTGTGTGAACCACTGAAATTGCTAATTTAATTATGGATTTTGAAGCATGGGTACATATAACTGAGGAAAATCAAGAATGCTGGCTACTTGGAAGTCTCTCTGTGTTACATAAATGAAATTAGGAAAAAAATTGACTGGACGGGGAGTGGCAGCGATAGTATGCTGCTTTTCAGACTTTAGGCAAAGTTTGTATTAATGTTGCCTGTAACAAAGAGCTCTGCTCCTCAGTGTTTTCACTCTAGCATTTCACCAGTGCCAAACACCTTTAAGAATAAGAAAGGAAATATTTTTCTGGATAACTTCAAACTTGTCTTCAAAGCTAAATGTTACAGAAATGCATGTAATGTTTGTAATGGTTTTAGTGTAAAGCTGTTAAACTCGTAATATGTAAATTAATTCAAGTAGCTAACCATACTGAAACAGCCTATTTCAAAACTGATGTGTTTTTCCCTGTAATTTAGGTATTTGATAAAGTGTGAAGAGTTTCACGTTTCTTTCTTTTCTTAGTTAAACAGCGATTCTGCCATAGACGAAACAATATCAGACCATGCTGGTTTATCACTTCAGTCTCAAGATTCCACTAGCAGTGTGGGAACAGAAGAGGTGCTTCAAATCAGAACTGAGACCCCAAGTTTGGAGGCTTCTCCTCTAGATAACTCTAGCAACCAGCTGCCTGAGGTGGGGAGAAATGTGGGCTGGTGCATGGCTGATCTGGGCTCCTTCTAGTGTTTAGTAGCAACTTTGGCTTTCTTTTCAACTGAATTTTCATCTGTTACACTGATTATTTGATTTGCTTTTAATATTTCTAACCTGTTGGAATGTTCTTGCAAAATGTTCCCTCAGGATGAAAACTACTTGGGATGGACTGAGGGAACTTACTACAGGTTAAAAATATTCTTGAAGGGCTGGAAATGATCATTTCATGGTGCAGAATGAAAATAGGCTAATATTGAAGATGCTTTTACTTGATATGGTTGAAATCATTCTTGAGCAACATTTTCTTTCAAATACTTCTTTATTTCCCTCCCCCCCTACAACCTCGATGTGTTGGGTTTTTTTCTGGAATTTGAAAAGGCTTGGTTTAGGTGGACTTTTTATCTTTTCAGGTAAAGTTATTGATGCTACTGGCAATCTTATTTTTATTTGGAGAAGCATTGCTAATCTCATCTTTAACAGAATGTGCAGTTTTATTGAGTTTTCCAGAAAATTAAGCTATTCCTATGTGTATTTGAATAACCAGAGCACGGTTTAGACTTAAGAATGCGCCTTCAGCCAGCTTGGTTTAAACAGTCGACTGACTGGTTCAAGTGACTGGGATTTCTGAACAAAGGCTCTAGCATACCTGTTTGCTACCTTGAAAATCACTGTTATTAACAGGCGAATAGCCTACCCAGCTAACATTTAATGAAGGTAGCTGTAAGAACAAAAGACATACTTAGAATACAACAAAGTGTGGGTGACTGGTTTCCTGTGATAAAATCCTCACCTTCTAAAAGTGCAGTATTTTTACCTTTATAAAGCAGCTCACCCCCCCCCACAATTTTTTATATTTTTCCATTATGATTACTTATATGCTTTTTTTTAAAGTGTTTGGTTACACTACAGTTGATAAATTGTCTCAACTTTTGTTGAGCACCTGTGCTTAGATTGCTAAACAAATCGTCCTGTTAGCGCTTCATCTGCTTGTCTGCAACATGCATTTTTGTTCCGGTAGAATTTTGGGTGAGGAAGAACACTTAACCTGGATGATTTTTTTCCACATAGGATAGATGTATTATGTTAAGATTTCAAAAGGGAGAAGCGATATATAAGCTAGGATTTTGTAGTATGAAATTCACCACGATAAAATTTTTGTGTTCTCCATTGTTCATTTGCGGTACATCCTCAGCTGTAACTCATTTCTACATTTTCATAGTTCTTTCTGAGACTACCTTTATACTTGGATTCATTGTTCTTCTGCAGCTCCCTTTATAAAATCACTATAGTTCTGATAATCTATGTGAAAACACTTACACAAAAAGCACCAATGTCATTAAAAACATTGAAAACATTTAAACTGGGCTGTAAATTAATTTCATGACTAAACAACATCCAGAAAAAAATGATATATCAGTAAAAAAAAGAGACTGCAAATGCATATAAGTGCATTTGCTAAATGTGATGTATTCCAGGTTTATTTTGTGCTTATTAGAATATGGGATTCAAATACATATGATTTCTTCAAGCACAGTTCAAACATTCAAAGTTATCTCTCTACAAGAGTTAGCTATCTAGTTGGATTTTGTTGCTAAAAGGCAGAGCTGGCTTCATGACTTTAACAGAATGAGCTTGGAAATATGCACGCTATCAACTGACTCTGAAAAATTTGTGAAGCCAATAAAACTAATTTTGTTCTGAATTCTTATACTGCACAATTTGCAGCATAATGCAGTTGTTTTTTTCCTCTATTCATATACTTTATATGTAACTCTTTCAACTCAGGCATTTCATTGCATGCCAGGTGTCAGTTATGAAAACGTTTTTAATATAAATAAGTATGTATCAAAATGTATCTAAAGTAAAATAATTTTTAAAAGCCATTCTTTAAAAGCAAGTCTGTGTGCTGGTTAGACATAGCTGAGCCCCTTGTTTCTCTTGTAGGGATGCTGAAGAGTTCAGTAAATAGTTTACTTAAATGTATTTTGAATATGGGATTCAAATACATATGATTTTTACTTAAAACATATGATAGTTTACTTAAATGTATTTGGCTAATTCCCAGTAATAGCATGTATCTTTGCAAAAGGGACATTACACATTCCAGTGGGAATTTACTGTCTCGCTTACAAGAATATTTTAAATTTTGTACAATAAGTTTTACAAGTTTAAGTATATGAAAGTTTCTGAGTGAAATGATTCTCTATTTTACGCGCACTGTGGATTTATGAGGGGAATGGGTTACTAGAAGTAATTTTCCTTGGGTGCTGTGGTGTTGTCAACTATACAAATCACATTTTTAAGATACTTAACATTCATGTTCATAGTAAAGACATGTCCAGTGTTACATAGAAAACTGCAGAATTCAGGAGTCGTGGCACTATGAAGACTAACTTAACTGTAAAGTTATTAACTAGTAATTAGCGCTTAAAATATTTTCTAAAAGTGTATCCCTCATATGTGCATCTACTAGACACGATCAGTGCAGCTCTGTATCATATATTAACATTTAGGATAGAAATGGACCACTGCTTCAATCCAAATTATTTTGCTGAGTTACTGTAAAAGTGTTGTGCGTTCCCATGTGCCTTAGCTGCTCAGTGTGACAAAATGGGTGTTCTGTGCAATAAAATTACAGATTTCACAGTTACAAAGGAGGCATTAGAAGGGAGGTCACCAGCTGTGTCAAATGACAGGAGTGTCACGTTAAGCAGTACGATAGTCGAAGTGAGATGAGGTTAGGATCACTGTGAAATAAAACGATGCAGTTCTTTTTAAAGCTGAATTGTCTTTTCTAATATTTGTACGGCTATTGTATCTGTCACGGGATCTGTTTAGACAAAAACCATGAATTGATGTTTACTCCTAGAGGCTGTCCAAAGGTTTGTTGACCAATCTTGGATATGGCAGTAGAGCAAGACCAGCACACTAAGAATGAAAATGTGTGATAATTTGTGCCTTTAGGAATTAGCAAATACAAGAAAGTGTTATTTTTATTCCACAGAAAAATCCAGTAAAAGGTTACAAATGGATTCATCGTAAATTAACTAAATCTGAATTCTTCTGTTCAATATAGTGACGTTAGTGGGTATAATAATGCTAATGGAGGAAGAGGAAAGGGAGAAAGGGTCGTTTTAATATTACCTACCTGACTTGAATCATTGTCCCCTTATAATTGCTGGTGATTGAAAGCCTACATTTAGAGAATCAGGGTTAAACCCTTGAAGCTCCACATATTAACAGTAGTGGCAAAATAATAAAAATAGTGGAATGTCCCTTTTTCTATTGTTAATCTGTTACACTGTTGCTTAGTTATGCTTTAGAAACTTGTTAAAATGGAGAGTGGAAAGGAGAAGAGATGTTCTGTACTGGTTCCAGACCCCAAAGGCAAGCATGAGGCGGTAATTTTGGTCCTTACCTAGAAAAGTAAAATATGAAAGTCTTGATTGTGTTAATTGTGATCTTAATATGTTTGAGGCTATTTGCAGATATTTTTCTGGGAGTGTTCTCTTTACAGATTTAATTGAGTGTATTTGAGAAATTGTATTTGCTATAAATGATAAGTCATATTCTAGGATATTAATGTTAACCAGAAGCTATAAACATTACAAATAGACTGCCTTCTTTGCTCAAGTAAAAACTGTGTGAACAATCCAGAGAGCAAAATGATTAACGTATAAATGGATATTTGTAAACAATTTTTTATACATCTGTTACTTTACCGTAATAAAAACTGATAAGAATACGTAAGCCCTGACAGTAAAAGTAATAAAAGTATGTGTGATTCACAGGAAGGCAGTTCAGCAGTAAGGGACGAACAGGTTAGCACTGCTAGTGAAGACACTGGGTCATATCTACTACAAGAACAACAGGACTGTCTGGTCTGTCATGAATCTCTTGAGTTGGAAGAGACCCCAGAACTGGTGGAGGCAGCAGCTCCTGAGAGCTATTCTGAATCTATCTGTGAAGAGGATGTCACTCTTGCTTTGAAAGAGCTAGATGAGAGATGTGAAGAAGAAGAAGCTGACTTCTCTGGTTTGTCTAGGTAAGATTCATATTGGTTCTAAGTAACAGAAATTACATGTTATCAGCACATGAATGAAACAAAACAGGCTTTCTTATGGTGTGGGGTTTTCCATGAGTCCCATAATTAAAGTATTTCAAATGATGTTTTGCATATCTGAAATAAGGGTTGATTGGTTTTGCCTATTATAGCAAATAAACTCAGTACTTTGCTCAGCAGTTGTTTCTGGTACAGGAAACACAGTGGTGCAGGAAAAGAGAATTCTTGAATAAAAGAAATACAGCACCATCAATAGGCTAGAAATGTGAAAAGAGGTCAGAGCATTTTGAAGCGTTTTCTTGGCAGTCACCAGCTGCAAGCAATATAACATGGAAAAGCCCTTGAACTACTCTGAATTATGGCATAACTACTCTGAATTATTTTGGCACCAAAAGACAGGGGAAAAAATGTTAATTAAAATAAATAAATAAATCAGAACTCCTGTAGGAGTCAGGCCAGTTTGTCTTTGAATTTGTCCGAGGTTTATTTTCAGTGTTAAGGTCAACCAGTCTTTTGTATATTTCTAAGACATTTCAAAGTAAAATAATGTTTTTCCATTTTTTAATATGGAGAGCAAAAATAACTCTTGAGAGGAAAAGTTACATTAAGTCCTGGCTGGTTGAGTCATATTTAAAGTGAAACCCTAAGTTCCTTGAAGGTAGTGGTTTAAGAAGGAGGGAAAACAAACAAAAAACCCCAGGCAAACAAACAAAAAAAACCCAAATGAAAACAAACAGCAAATTGCCAAATTGTCCTTGTGCATAGGCTTGTTGAATAATACAGAGACTTAGTGTATATTCTGTTGGAGAGATCATTTAAGGGACCGTTTACAGAAAAGGACGCAACAGGATCTGTAAAAGACCAAGTTGTTTGAGATGGTTCTACAGGGAGAGGGACAAAGAAATTGAATCTTCTAATCCCACATGCAATATGCCTTGCAAGAATTAAAGGCTGATACCAGTTAGTAGAAGTTTATTTCCTAATGTGTAGCTCAAAGATCTCTTAAGGTTTTAGTCTATTTACGCTAAGAAAACAAACAAAAAACCCCATAGCTCTAGTTTGAAGAGCAACAGAGATGATTATCAGGTATTCAATGACTTTTGTGCCTCAATCTTCACCGGCAAGGGCTCTAACCACAGCGCCCAAGTGACAGAAGGCAAAGGCAGGGACTGGGAGAATGAAGAACTGCCCGCTGTAGGTGAAGATCAAGTACAAGACCACCTAAGGAACCTGAAGGTACACAAGTTCATGGGAGCTGATGAGATGTATCCGCAGGTCCTGAGGGAACTGGCAGATGAAGTTGCCAAGCCGCTATCCATCATATCTCAGAAGTCACGGTGGTCTGGTGACGTTCCCACTGACTGGAAAAAGTGAAACATAACCCCCATTTTCTAAAAGAGAAAAAAGGAAGACCCAGGGCACTACAGGCCAGTCAGTCTCACCTCTGTGCCCAGCAAGATCATGGAGCAGATCCTCCTAGAAACTCTGCTAAGACGTGGAAAATATGGAGATGATCGGTGACAGCCAACATGGCTTCAGCAAGGGCAAGTCATACCCGACAAATTTCATGACTTTCTATGACTGGGTTACAGCACTGGTGGATAAGGAAAGAGCAACAGATGTTATCTACCTGGACTTATATAATGCGTTTGACACTGTTCCCCACAACATCCTGGTCTCTAAATTGGAGAGACATGGATTTGATGGATGGACCACTCAGTGGGTAAGGAACTGACTGGATGGTCACACTCAAAGGGTTGCGGTCAACAGCTCCATGTCCAAGCGGCGAGCAGTGACAAGTGGTGTTCCTCAGGGGTCAGTACTGGGACCAGTGCTGTTTAACATCTTTGTCGGTAACATGGACAGTGGGATTTAATGCACCCTCAGCAAGTTTGCCCACGACACCAAGCTGTGTGACACGGTCGACATGCTGGAGGGGAGGGATTCCATCCAGAGGGACCTGGACAGGCTTGAGAGGTGGGCCCATGCCAACCTCATGATGTTCAACAAGACCAAGTGCAAGGTTCTGCACCTGGGTCGGGGCAATCCCAAGTATAAACACAGGCAGGGCAGAGAACGCATTGAGAATAGACCTGAGGAGAAGGACGTGGAGGTGTTGGTTGGTGAGAAGCTCAACATGAGCCGGCAATGTGTGTTCGCAGCCCATGAGGCCAACCACATCCTGGGCCCCATCAAAAGCAGCGTGAGCAGCAGGTTGAGGGATATGATTCTGACCCTCTGCTCTGGTGAGACCCCACCTGGAGTACTGCTTTCAGATCTGGAGCCCTTGGCACAAGAAGGACATGGACCTGTTGGAGCAGGTCCAGAGGAGGGCCACACAGATGATGAGAGAGCTGAAGCACCTCTCCTATGAGGACAGGCTGAGAGAGTTGGGGTTGCTCAGCCTGGAGAAGAGGAGGCTCCACAGAGACCTTATCGTGGCCTTCCAGTACCTAAAGGGGGCCTACGAGAAAGCTAGAGAGGGAATTTTTACAAGGACTTGGAACACTAAGACAAGGGGGAATGGCTTCAAACTGGAAGAGAGTAGATTTAAATTATATATTAGGAAGAAATTTTTCCCTATGAGGGTGGTGAGGCACTGGAGCAGGTTGCCCAGAGAAGCTGTGGCTGCCCCATCCCTGGAGCTGTTCAAGGCCAGGCTGGATGGGGCTTTGAGCAACCTGGTCTGGTGGGAGGTGTCCCTGCCCATGGCAGGGGGGCTGGAACTAGGTGATCTTCAAGGTCCCTTCTAACCTAAACCATTCTATGATTTATAGGGTTAATACACTAGTTAGAAAATATCTGAAAAGCTTTTTGAAGCTGTGCTTACAGATATTGTTCAAAAGGATTGCATCTTAGCTTTTGAGCTTTGTGCTACTAAAATGAACATACCTAAAAGCACCCACACTTCTTGTTTAAGGCATGCCTGGTTCTTGTTTAAGACACTTGGTGCCACTGTGAATGAGGTGGTTGTTATAGAGGAAAATGGTACGTGTTAAAAAAAAATTATTTTAGTAAACTGTATGTACTTGGAATCCTCCCACAGGTATTTTTGCTGTGTAAGTACAATTATACAAGAAGAACTGTCAAAATGTGTCATTCCTTTTAATACAGAAAAAAATTAAAATTAAGTTAATGACTGTAAGTAGTAGCATTGATTAATTTATGGTTTGATATTTTTATTGGAGGTTTGGTGCCTGATGGAAAGCATGACTGCAGAATGCTCTTTGAACAAAGGCCCATTAAATTGATTGCCCATAAAAATGAAAGTGTTCCAATCTGTCTCCATTCACTTATGATGTTACTTAAGACAGTTATAAAATAGTATTACACTGCTAAATAAGCTCTTGTGTTTCTCTAAAGGAAAGCTAGAATTTGTTACAGGTATTGGTGGACCATATGTTTAGATGAATAAAAAATTGAGGAATTGAATTTTAATTCAGTTATTGGGGGCAAGAAAAAAATACCCGTTTGAGTGGTGTGTATATATAGTGCTGTATATATAACCTACAGATACCCCTTTGTAGATATGTGCAGAAATAACATGTTTTAATAAACTTCAGAGGTATTTGAGAGATAAGCAATTTTTTTATATTGCAGTAGCAAAAGGTTTTGATTCTTTACTCCTTTCTTGGTTCATAGTTACCTTATTTGACTGATTATTAATTTTACAAAACACCATTCTGAATTCCAAATTCTTATTTTTTTTTTTCTTCTTACAAAAATGAAGGACTTTTTCTCCTAAAATATTTACTGAGGACCTAATTTCCGTTGTTTGTTATTCATAGCCAAGATGAAGAAGAACAAGATGGTTTCCCAGAAGTACAAACTTCCCCACCTCCTTCACCGTTTCTTTCTGCCATATTGGCAGCTTTCCAACCAGTGGCATACGATGATGAAGAGCAAGCCTGGCGCTGCCACGTCAATCAAATGCTGTCAGATACAGATGGATCTTGTGCTGTCTATACATTTCACGTCTTTTCAAGATTGTTTCAGGTCAGTGAATTGCCAGCGCGTGGTTGTTTGTCTGAAACCCTTTCCTCCTGCTTTCAAAACTGTTCTTCCCCTGCATAACTTCAAAAGCCACACGATTATGGTTGCAAGGAGGCTTAGAAAGCAAATCAAAAGCAGACAAAAAAGAGACATTGCTAAAAGGATGTTGTATGGTCATACGCTATTTTTCCATGGGATATCTGCTGTATTCGTTGTCAGGAGTGATTCTACTTACGGGGGGGCGAGGGGGAGAAGCTCAAAAAATACCTGTTCAGTGTTTAGCTCTTAGTTCAGGTTGTGTCCCTTCGTTTATTTTCTGAACATCACCCAGGTTCTGTGCTGATTACAGAACTAATGACTTCCTCCTGGGTTTTCTGTGGGATTCATTATTATGGGATCACAGCATGACAAACATTAATGAATTTAGCTTGCATCTGTCTTGTGAGAAAAGTTTTTTTTTCTGCAGACGAGTAATTGAAACACCAGGATCCACTAAAGCTGGAAGTTTCAAATGCCTCTCTTCAACTATATTTATCTCGTAGATCTGGTATCCAACGCAAAATGCTCCCTCCTCCCTTTGTGTAGGGGAATGGGCTTTTTACATTTTCAAAGTGGTACCACGTGGACTTACATTAGTCTTTGCAACTTACGAGATAGGAAAGGCACAATTAATCCATTTTATTTACAGGCAATGTGCCAAGTGATCTAAGATCAGATTCAGTACTACAAACCAAGACCTTATGACTCCAACCCTTTCTTATGTCTTCAATATTAATTTTGCCTGCTGTTTGATATATCATCATAAATCTCTCAGTGAAAGCCTCACTTTGTTTTACCACGCTACCACACATTTTATCCCATATGTATGGGCAGGTTTAGGGTGAGTACCATGATGTAACTTACATGTGAAGAATTCATACTCTACCTTATCCATGGAGTAACTTGTTTGTGCACTTATACCCATTTTACGTTTTTAGTGGAACTAAGTATTTTGCCACAGTGCTGTGAAATTATTGGGTTTAGATTTTTGTCTTTTTGCTTCGTCTAGACATCAGGGGTTTAGTTTCTGTGTATTATACCAAAACTTAGCTGCAGTTGGCTTTTCATACATTCATTCACTTCCTGAAAGTGAAAAAACAGGAGTTCATTTTCTCTTGTGTTTACTAAAGAGGGAGCTAGAAAGAAAGGTGAAATTTTCTGTGGCTTGACAGGATAACCCTCAGTCAGCTGGAAACGTGGATACGCTGGGAAAAGGGGCAACTGCGATCCAGGGCTCGAGTCTGGGCAAAGAAGCATTCCCGAGGAGTTGTTACTGCGTACAGAGGAGGGTTAAAATGATTAAAGGAGACCCTCGAGGTCTTATTTGACTGGACCATTCCATTTTGCCTTCTGGCTCTTACACTGTGTTTAACTTTGCAGCTGTAAATATCATCTTTGTATAGTTTTATTCTACATGTAACTTTCTAGGATTTATGAAATGATGTATAGCAAAGCACAGTGTTGTATTAGGCCAAGCCAACAGTCTACATAAAGGTTGGACCAGATGATCCTTGAGGTCCCTTCCAGCCTGGTATTCTATGATAATCGAACATGACATATATAGGACTGATTTTTGAAGAAGGTAGAAACCCTGCAGGTGGCAGTTTTGGACACAGATTGTGCTACGCAAGTCGTATTCTGACTCGTAATCTGTGTATAACTTTCTGCAACACAGACACTTGAAAATTAATCGAACTACTGTCTGTACTGCATAAAGACAAATAGTCATCCAGCTATACTGATGCTAAAGGCCTGGATGTGAAGGGAGTAAGTGTCTTTATAGATACAGGCTGGTTTTATTTATTGATTGCATTTTCTCAAGCTAGTTTTACATAAATATGCAGAGCAAATTACGTATTAGTTTGTAATTTAATGACAAAAATATATGCTGTCGTGATGGAAACTTGCCCTGAAATTCTTAATCTAAAAAGCCAGAGTAGGAGGGGTAGTAAAATACAATGTAAAATAAATGTTTTTCTGATTTGATTTCTAGACCATTCAAAGAAAGTTTGTATCTATAACAAATGATTCGGTCAGCTTTCTTGGCGAAAGTCTACAGCGCATTGGAACAAAATTTAGAAGTTCTCTGGAAGTGATGATGTTATGTTCAGAATGTCCGACAGTCTTTGTGGATGCGGAAACGGTAAAAATCTCATAAATGTACATGTTGAAATATGTCTGCTTAAACATTTTTATGTAACATACAAAACGATGTTTTAACATTTTGAAATAAGCAATGCTCAGGAAGGTTTTAAAAGGTTTGAATAAAATGTGTTAATTCTATTTTTGCCTTTTAAAAGGTTACTCTCTAACGTCACTAATTGGAACATCTGAATAATTTGGGGATGTAAAAAAGAATTATAATTGAATCAGAAAGGAATTAAAATGTTAGGTGGCCACTACATATCATAAACATTTGAAAACACAAGTGAGAAGTGCATTTTCTCCAAAAATAACCTCCATCTGTAACAAAGAACAGAGAGGGAACTTACTGATACTGGGTATCACTTAAATCCCCTTGCTGCTGTTTACCTTCCCTGCTTGTTCATATTTATTCCATATTCTTTGCACAGAGAAGAAAAAGGAAGACTTCTTATCTAGCAGCAACTTTGCCTTTTAAATTGTATTGTTTATGTATATATTCAATGATGCATGAGAAAAACATTCTAGCTACAGAGATACAATGAAGGCTTTGAATTGTTTGTTGTTATGCAAGTTGAAATCTTGGGTTATAATAAATAATAACATGAGAATTCAGCTCAATGTTCAGCAGCAGTCAAAAAAAGCTATGCTGGAATAATTAAGAAAAAGAGACAGCAAAACAGAAAACATCATTGAGCTAATGTACATATCCCTGATCTACCTACCTCCTGAATTTTGGGGGCAGTTCTGGTCCCCAGCTCTCAGAGAAAATACAGTTGAACTGGAAAAGGTTCCAAGAAAGATCACAAGGATTAGAAAATATGTGGAACGGCTTCCTTATAAGATAGGAGTATGCAGGCTAGGATTTTTCAGCCCTCTAGGAGAGAAATCTGTCCATGGATGTAACTGTGAAACCTTGTCTGTTTATGTTTTCAAAAAGCAAATAACGAGATTCATGAAAGAAATAGCCCTGGATAGATTTTTGAACATGCAGAACAAAATGTTGACAGAGGCTAAGAAAGCATTCTGGAGCAAGCAGATCACCACACATTTGCCCTGTTTTGCCCTTCCTTAAGCAACTGCTTTTAGACATTGTCAGATGGGGGACTGAGACCTTTGGCCTTGACCCAGTGTGAGACTCTTCTCCTGACCTGTTTTTCTTCCCTTGGTGCTAAGGGGTAGCTCTGCTCTTACGCTCCCACTTTAGAATATGGGGACTAAAAAAACATAATACAGATAGTGCATTTCAAGGCAACCATGTATAATGTTTCTTGCTTAACTTATACCACTTTAAAAGCAGTAGAAATTAACCAAAAGGAGAAATTTGTTTGGGATAAGAAGTCACAAGAGGAGTTACACTACTATCTCAATAAAACAGCATGTGTCTTTTAAAAACGACATAGATAAATACATAAAAGCAAATATAAAAAAGGAATAATAAATATAACGTATATGCACACAAGTATACAGACTTGTGTGTATGTGTACAAGCATATGTATGCACGTACACGCGTTAGTGTTGTTACATTGGCAATTACTGTGTAGATAAATCTTTCCTCTCCAAATAATATAATTGAAATGAACCTACTTGTTTGTCAGATTGCGTCTCAATAAGAAAGATTGGCTAACCCAAAATAACATTCATGCTCGAATCTTTGGTTTCTTGATGTCTGCTCAGGCGTACAGGATTGGCATTTGCTTCAAGTTTGGCCTTTGATTCGTTCAGAAAGTAGTTTTCAGCAGAAAGATGCCCCCTTACATCACATCACAGGTTCACGAGCGATTTGGGAGCGGCTCATGGTCTACTGCTGATACAAGATGCTGCTGACTTTGATGTTATTGCACACATTGAGTGCAGAGTGGTGTCATGCCACAGAGCTGAAACTTGCTTCTTGGCTGATGTGGACATAGAGGTTGGGAGTAGCAGTGTCTTAATAATGGTGGTAGAATAATAATCTTGATGCACTTGGAAAAATATGGCAGCAACCCTGTGACTCGCTGTGCCACAACTTTGTGATCACAGGCTTGTGCTTGCACTTCAGAGCTGACCGGATAATAGGGACTGGAGAAGAATACAGTCCTCTTTATACGTGCAAGGGATGACCAGTGTGAGGGAGGAGGCATCATGTTAGAGGCATGATTATTACAGGAAGTGACAGGAGAAGGATTAATAGAAAAACCCAAGTGGAAATAAAACTACAGGGAGAAACGGTGTGGAGCAAAGCTGAGGTAGCGGCCCCTGAGGACAAAAGAGATTTTGAAACTGTGTTGAAAAAGGCAAAATTGTTAATGGTAGAAAATCCTTCAAATACCCAACAGTTCCTGCTTTGACAGTTCCTGATTCCCACAGACTGAAGCCTGAGCTGGCGGTATAGTTGGGAAATTGAGAAGGGCAAATAACCCTCACTGAACACTCCTTAGGTTACTACGGGAGGAATCCAGCAGTACCTTTTTTCCTGCTGCAGGCTATTCTATGTACAGTAGCTGTGTGTATATCATCTTTTTGAAAGATCTAAAAATCCCTTTGAAATCTCTCTTTCAGATGTTAACTAGGTACTGCCCTTCTAATTTTGGAATCAAAAATGTTCATTGATTTAACTGATACAGCTACATGTGTTAGTTTACTAACTCCTCAAAGGTGTCACGAATTATCTGTACCCAACTAATTTTAATTTAATTGTTTTTCCAAATGTGGACGTGTAATTTCATATTATATAATTTAGATATTAGACTATGTGGATTATAGTCAGATGTTACACGACTAAAGAGGTGATTGCTTTTATCTTTCAGCTAATGTCTTGTGGCCTGCTAGAAACATTGAAGTTCAGTGTTCTAGAGCTCCAAGAACACTTAGATACCTATAATGTCAAAAGAGAGGCAGCAGAACAGGTGAGTCTCTTATATTTCAAAACAAAAAATACTAGAACCTACTCATCCAGAAAATGCTGCAGGTCTTTATCTCTCAACACGGGTATCTAAAAGTAAAAAAAAAATTAGTGAAATAAAATCCTGTTTCCTTTTCTTAACTATTCTATGTGTGTAATCTGAACCCTAGTTTTTTCGTATGTGTAATTCAGTTTTGTTGCACATATTTTTCTGAAATCGACTTTGAATCTATAACACTGCTCAAATGCACTAGCATTGGGAAAAGCGCATTCCTAATTTTTAAATTATTTTTAAAATATTCAATAATCCTTGAATATTTTTAACCTATATTTAATAATATTCAAATATTTTTAACATTAATATCAATAAACCATCGTAATTTTTTTCCTTATTAACGTTCTGGCTTATTTTCTTAAACTTAGAAGGGTGGGATGCACCTCCAGATTAAGACATTTACAGATGACTAACTATATGTGAATTAAGTGCCTTAATACCCATAGTATTGGAGGATCAAGGCAATAAAAGAAATCAAGCAAGCAATGCAATTTGTCCTAATATAGATACCAACTTGTTGCTCAGCTGAAGAGGTCTTCAGACTTCTTTTTGCTGACTCGATCTCCACTGACTGTAATGGGGGCTTAAACAGCTGTGTCACGCATAGGTACATAAATGTAGGTCTGTCATCCGGCAGCTGGATCCCATTGAGGCTGACGTTTCTGGCACTTACTTAGAATAATACAGTTTAGTTTTCAAGGTACTTATTAGTGGTTATATCCTTTTTGCGAAGAAATACAGAGTTTAAAAGTTGAGAATTTCTGTAGCAAGGGTCTATAGATTTGTTTTTGTGAACCTTTGTGTGATGTTTAGGAAGGGAGATACTAACTTCAGAAAACTGAAACAGATAAGATTTCTATGTCAAGAGCCAAAAGAAAACATGGATCTACAACCATTTCTGAGGGGAGAAGGAGAATGTTTGGGGCTTTTGTTATAGAGAGAAGATAATTCCTAGGAAAATTAAACATGTGTTTGACAGAAATCTTTACTGATCGCAGCAGCCTGTGAGGCCATGGCAGTGGCTTTATAGGCAAGTTTGAGTGATGCGAAACAATACCAGAATTAAGCCATGGCATCTTGGCAGACCTGTATTTTGCAGCACAAGTGGCTCCATGTTTCCTGATGGTGCCGAGTTTATTAGGAAATGATGGCCTCTGCCTTGCAAAGATTGCTGACAGCTCATCTGTTGAATAGAATAGACATCTACTTTTTTGTGGAAAGTATCTCGAAAAGAAACACGATTTCCTCAAAACTGATGCTAAAGTATGCCACACAGCACTGTTAATGTAAATAAACTTTCTAGGATCCGAGCCAGCATTTCTGTAGAAGAGTAGCTGCATTTTTTGCCCTGCTCTGTGGTAATAACAATTTGTAAACTAACTCATGAGGTCTAATATATAATGAGCTATGTTTTGCCATTTAGGCTTAATCAGAAACAAAGTGCTCATCTAACGACTAGGATTACCTCACTCAATGTAATATTTAATGTCTGACAATCTCCAGCGCGTAACGCTGTCATCACTCCTATGAGAAACTAACGTGTAGTATTCCTCATTTTAGAAAGCACCAGTGCGGCACAGAGAGGCTAACTGATTTACCCCAGGGTCAGCCAGGAAGATATGGGGCACGTTAGAGAGGAACTCGTGTGTGTGTGTGTACTTAGAATGGTGACTATCCAAACATGGAGGAATTCTCCCTGTGTAAACTCCTTATTTAGCCTATAGTTTATCATAGCACTAACAAATGGTGGTGTTCGGTTGATTTGTCAAAAGTACGATGAGTTAAAGTTGTGTCCCTTCCAGGTGGCCGTGAATTCACTTAACGTATTCTTAGCTAATTTTGCACTGCCACTTATCATACCGACATAAATCCGTGTTGGATATTAAGAACTTGTTTGCATTTTATTTTACTTGATAAAGGAATATGGGTATCGGTTTGATGGCCTCTGTCATTATATCATAGTGAAAGAGAGTTGTTTTTCTGTAGCGCAGCTGTCAAAAGGGCGTCCAGTAACATGTTTCTGTGGTCAGCCTGTCTTCTGCCATGGGATTTGTGAGTGACTGGAGCAGGAAAAAGGTTCACAGGATGAAACGAACTGTTCTGAAATAACTGTGAGAGCATTTTGCCAGGGTTTTATTTTTATTTAGTCATTTATAAATAGAAGCAGTACTGAGGAGGAAGACATTTATAGCTTTGACCAATCATTTCTGACTCTTGATAGCATGTCATTTAGCTAATTTAGTGCATTATTTAAGTATTTATTTAGCACGTTAATTTAGAAGTAGTGACTAATTATCTCAGTTAATTTATTTTTCTAAAACTTTTTTTAAAAGCATTTCTTCAGCTGTTGGTCTTCAATTTTTTTTGGCGTGTATTATATAGTATATGTAGAGTAAGAATCTTCCAAAGCTACTTCTCAGACATTTTTTACTGGTTTTCTTACTCTGTCCTATTAAAGATAGCATAGGGAATAATTGAAAGACACCTTCCTCAAGTCAAATCTGAATTTCTGTTGTTGCAGGCAATTGTGCTATGTATCCTGTTCAATCTGAAAGTATTAAGGCAAAACACATAAGAAGCTTATTGCAGATTGTTGCTTTTATCATAGGAACATGCAGAAAAATGATCAAACTAAATTGGCTGGGCTATTGTCTAATAAAGTAAATACAAATTAACAGATATTTAAGGAAATGTAATTTGGAAGTTAATCTGGTATCCTCTAGAATAACCCACTGGAAAATTCTGTATATTAACTTTTTTAATGATAAAATTGTTGTTTAAAGTTTACCCTAAGAGGTTATGTTTGTCACTATCAGTGCTGTGTGTTCTACTGGCATTCGCATGAATCAAACTTAAAAAGTAAGAGGCTTGGGCTGCAGTTGCTTGAAACTTTGTAGGAGATATATAGAGAAAACATAAATCCATGTAAAGCAAACATATAAAGAAAATTATTTGGTCACAAAATCTAGTACTGTTCCCAAAGAGAAAATTCAGGTTTTTCTACCACGCAGAACATATAATATGTAAAAAAAAAATTAGCAAATTAATTTTGTCACCTTTTTGGAGCTACTGTTCTATTTCCTTGCAAGGAAACTGCTTTGACTTCATGTGTGTATTGGGGACAAAGATACTGAATCAGACAAATGTTACAGAAAACAAAGTTATATGTATGTCATGACATTCTAGGCACACCCTTTATTCAGGCTGGTTTTAAGATTTTAAAAAGATCTTAAAAGGGCAGTGTGTGAAAATAAACACTAGCTTCCCAACTGCTGATGCTGTTTGTTCCAGTGCAGACCTATTCCATTGTTACTGATGGATGCTGTCAGATAAAAAGAAAAATGAGATTTGCTGTGTACGTTGGTATCTATGTCACTAATTGAAACTGACACCGCGGTGTTTAGAGAATTCCATTTCTCCTCTTGATAAGCACACAGGCCTAGTTAATTCACTAAGTAACCTTTATTAAATTGAGCAGATGGGAAATCACATTTTTCTTTTTCTTGCATCAGACAAAGGTTAGAAAAAGGTCACTAAGATTTCCTGTGAGACTCAAGATACCAAGCACACAGTATGCTAAATTATTCTTCCTTGGATGCATAGAGCCTGTTCTTCATTTCAGAAGATAATCTGCACTTTATCTCAACGTGACGCGTTCCCATTTCAGTAATACCCGAATTACCTCATGCTTGCAGTTCTTTGCACTGTACAGAAAAATATTCTGGGCACTGTGTCGATGAGATGATTAGGTCGTATTGTCCAGTAAGAGCATATTTGATTCTCCACATGCTCTTTATTAACACTTTTAACATTTGTGTTGTTGGTTAAAGCTAGAAGAAGAGATTACCCACTGAAATTAGTAAACTTGTTGTCTGCTGTAGGAACTGGGGTTAAATACAGCCCTATATTCATGAAAGAGACTGGAATCTGCATGTTTGTATTGTCTAATGTGAGAATACTTCACCTCCCTGGCATGTATGAACTGAAGGTGATGCTAAACTCCCATTGAAGAATATTTTTTTCTTCTTTCTGTCCAGTATGTCTGCATTTGCATGTAGTTACATAGGAGGGCTCTATTTCCTTCTGTTCCTGAAGTAGTCCCAAGAAATACAGCGTGCTTACTCTTACTCTCTAATTTGAATTAGTGCTGTATTTTAAATACTGAGTGATCACGTTGGTTTAAACCTCGTGCAGTGAGGAAAGAGAAAATATGATCTCATTTAATGAAAGGGATTTTTCTGCCTCCACCCTCCCACACATCTCACTGTAACAGTACACAAATTCAATCACAGGTTAGTATTTATGCTAAAGTGTACTACACCCATCTGGGATAATGAAGGCTACAGGAAATTTACAACGGAAGGGACACAATAAAAACTACAAAGTGATATATCTGAGTGGAAATCATTAGCGGAAACAACATTGGTAAACGTTTGATTTCATATCACAGTATCTTACGTAGTCCGAGAATGTGCAAGACTTAATGAAGTGTCTTAGGCAGTTTTAGCAGTGTCTTCAGTTTCCTCTGTTTCAGAAGATGTTTAATCTCGTTTATATTTATTTTGCAGTGGCTAGAAGACTGCAAAAGAACATTTGGTACTGATGATGGTATTCATGGCACTAACACAGATGCCCAGGTAGGTATATGTCATTTGTGAATCTCTGGATATGACATTAAAAAACATCTTTGTATCTATTGCACAAAAAGTCCAATATTTGCAGAGAGATTAAAAATATATGAAAAGCTTTTCATTTCAGTTATCCTCCTATCTTTTTGGAAACTCAGATTCTTATGAACTAGTGGTCTAATAAAAAGGGCTCTTTTTAATAAAAGTTGGCAACCCATCTTGGGTTCTAGACTTAATAACACTGAGTAGATAAGCAGACTAGATACCATCTGTGTACCAGCAACTCTGCTTTTCTGTAGCTGTTTCTGCAAGAAAAAAGATTAGCATTCTGCTTATATGCTCAGATACACTGTCTAGCCAAAAACCTCTACTGAATTTAATATAATTAGTACTATATAAACACATATGACCTTTTTGGAGTCGTTACTTGGGTGGGAAGGAACGGGGAGTAAAGTAGCAGTATGGCAAAAATATCATTAAACACATCTGTCAAAATATCATCTAACAACAATAGGTGAAGTAACCTGTTAATATTAGTTCAATATTTTGTATGTATTTGCATGGCAGTCATCCATGTTTAATATTACTAATTGCTATAGTAAGTGATAGCTTCTCCCAAAGTAGACTAGGACTTTTTTTCAAAAAGCAATAGCTGCACTGTAGATAAAAAAGCAAATCCAAAAACTATCATTAGTAGGTACAAGGAATCTGCCATCTAGAGTCCTGTAATAAAAACAGTGAAAAATGTAAGAAAGTAGAATTGCAGGTAGCAGATGCGCTTACCTTTTCCCAATGACATTTTGACAAAAATCCAAAATCCAATCTGAAAAAGGAGGAATTTTATTCCTTTTATTCAATTGAACTCTGTTCATTGATGTACTCAGTCATGTTTCTGCTGCTGGAAATGTAGTGTTCAGCAACAGAAATATCTACTGTGTGCATGGACTATTTCTTGTTTTATACAGTTTTCATTTGCTCTCATATATATATATATATATATGTATTTTTTTAAATTCAATCACAAAATGCCCCTGAATTTTTAGAATAGTGAAACGTGTGATAACATACTGTTGAATTTTTGTATTGCATTGAAGTTACATATTTAATTTTTTTTTCATGTGGATAAGCATGGGTAATAAAGCAAAATAATTTGCTACCATTTGCAAAGATATTTGCTTTGCCTGTGAACACAACATTTAGTGTATTCTACACTTGATTTACATCTTTGTATACTGGCTGGTACATGTTTAGAAATACGTAGCAACTTTTACTATTACAACACAGTAAATGTTCTATATGTTAATAAAAAAAGCAGCATTTATGTATTTCAGTCCCTATTTAGAATGCTGTTTATATACACCAAGAAGCTGTTCTGACATTTAACTGTTAGAACATAACTGTTCTTACCACAAAGGGAAATGTTACTGTTCCCACTGGATAGCTAGGGAAACTACGAAATGGAGGAAAAGCCACATGCAGACTTTCGTTTCACTTGTAGGGAGAGAATACAGGATTCCGAGTGAGGCAGTTTTGTCTGTTCTTTCCTGTTTTTGCAGGGTTTGAAGATAGCCTCTGAAAAGGAGTTATGTGACCACTCACACTGATTACATGTGGGGACCTGTTTTGATTTTGGTTTTCACTCCTAGCCTGCAAGGCACGCTGGCGATTTTTTTTTTCTTTAGGTGCTCCTTGCACTTGCAGGTTCAGTTAAAATCATTTTACTATACAGTATCCATTGAGAAGGCAAAGTCCTGTTATCCTGCTTCGTAAAATATACATAATTTACAGAAGTTCTAAATTTATTCACAGAAGCTTATAGTGACTTGAGTGAGATTCAGAAGTTACCAAGTGTAACATCATTATTTCAAAAGTCCTTGTAAATGGAGAGTGGGGCTGATAAGTCTGTCCAGTGAACCAGTTAAGGCTAAAAATATCTAAGTGTTGTCTTGCTCAGGAAAACAGAGCTGCTTCATTCAACAGATATTTTTCATTCACTAACACAAAGACAATTTTCTTACTAATTTTTAGCACTGTGCTCAATACAGCTAAGGAATAGTGAGATGAATTCTGTTCTGGCTCATGCATTGCCAGCAGACTTGCAAGGAAACCTAATTACTGGATTTTTGCTATTAGTACTTACATGCAAGCCTGAAAAAGTGCATCTGGACTCTGGCTAGACTGCTTGTACAAGGACTGGCAGGTAGAAAAAACATTATTTCTCAGGTGAGCCAGCATGTGAAAGACACTAAAACAGCACAAAGCCATTTTCAAAGGAAAACCTCTCTTGAATTTTTAAAGTAGCTATCAAGGTATGATTTTGGGGAGAGGGATTATTTATGGCTTACCGTAATAATGAGATTTGGCTTAAAGAACACAGGAACTTAATGACTAAAAATATTAAATAATCGACCCTGCCATTCCTCAAAGTCTGGTTCTCTGTGCTTCGTTAAAGTGAGTTATAGAATTCTTACCAACTTCAGCAGTTCAAGATCATACCTCTTCACAGTGTTCTGTGCATCAGAAGTTTTTGCTTATAAAATAATTGTGCTATGTATATGATAGCACAGAGTACCGAAGAAAAAACGCATGCAGTGCTTATAGTCTGTTAAGCACATAGTGTATAACTTCTTACACACATTGTGTATAACTTCTTACACACATTGTGTATAACTATGTGCTTAGTAAAGCTCAACTGCTTCTGCCTGTTGGAATCAGACATAGGTTGCATCTTCATCGGTTTACTGTGACCGTTGAACTTGCTTAAATGCCATCAATACACTCAGCGCTGTACAAAGCACAGAAGTCAAGTTCCTGTCCCTAGTCTGACAAATGTATTTTCTAATGATTTCTCTCCCTATCCCTCTTTCCCAAACATTTTTCTGAAATAACTTGTAAAAACCAAGTGCAATTAAATTACAGAAATCTCACAATGAGGTGTTGAAAATTGAGTTTAGCAAAATCAAGACTTTTCTAAACTGATCCAGAATCCAAATTAACATTGCATCTCAAATTTTAAAAGGCATTGTTTGTGCTTAAACTGTAGTGGTACAGAACAAGAAAGAAGCATTGTACAGATGGCCAGATCTAACTGTCCTTGGTCTTCATTTCCTTAAATTTGCATACCTTTAGGACTACACAATGTATAAAGGCCAGAGAGGGTTGTAATGGAAGTATGTTACTCATGTTGTGGGACAGCAAAGCCAATGCTATCTGTTGTTAGTTATAGCAGCAAGTAACTTCACTTCAAATTCAGTCTGTTAATTTTTTCCATTCAGGGTATATTTGAAGCATGTTACTTGTATTTCTTCCTCCATTTTACCTGGGACATCTTTTACCCTAATCAAAATTATTTCCTATACTAATTCTTGATCTTTTTTTCTTTCTTTGTATTTTTGTGACCTGCTCATCTTCTTGCTTAGCAAATGGAAATTCTAGCAGTAAGTGATGGTTCTTGATTTATCAAATACTTAACCATGCCAGTCACCAAACTGGTCTCCATCTGTCTTGTCCATTTGTGACATAGTGATGTCTTGTCCTAGACTATTACAAAAATGCTGTGTGCTTCAATTTTGCATCATCTAACCCATTGAACTGTTGGTCCTTTGTAGATAATAGGATCCTGTAGCTAGTAGAACGTTATAAAAGATTATTCCATTAGCACTAGCTTTTATGTCTGTATGTAAAGCAGTATTAACACTGTCTGCACTTTGACTAGTGTTTTAGACACATAAAAATGGAAGCAAGAGAGCGCTTAAGTTAATGCTGCTGTTTTCGTTTCCTTAAGAATATATTGCGTGGTATTTTCTAAAATAGAATCAGAGCTACCTTTTATAAAGGAAACATTATTCTTGCCTCCAAGAATGGAATTATTCTTCTCTTAGTCCATCGGGCAGTTGTAAGCTAAGGGCCAGGTTATATACTGTGCTTACATATTTATATTAATGAATTTAATGGTTTTGAAAGATTCCATACATACAGACCACAACTGCTTCTTTTGAATACTAGATCTTGAATTTAAAACAATAAAATATCAACTGTAGAAGTAAGTCATCTATGAAACTCTTGTCTTGGAACATGACATTTCAAAATGCCTTTTGAATCCCTTCACATCCCACCCCACTTCACCCCCCTTCTTGGAAACATAACTTCGTATTAAAATGTAAACTTTAAACCTATGTGAGAGAGACTACCTGTAAATCTAGAACTGAATGAGGCTTTCATCTGCTTTTCATTAGCTTCCTGCTACTTAGCTTCTAAATCTTTTTGGCATTTTCTTCAGTAACCAAATAACTACTTTTAATTTTTCACATTCTATACTGAAGAAGTTGTCATTTATTGTCTCTTGTATTGGATAGTAGATGTTCTGCACTTCCTGAATATAATAGTTGTTTACATTTGCAGGAGCTGGAGTTGTGTCGGAGGCTATACAAGTTGCATTTCCAGTTGCTACTTCTGTTCCAAGCCTATTGCAAACTCATCAGCCAAGTAAAAACAATCAAAAAAGAAGCAGAGGTAATGAAAACCATGCCATTTAGCTGCTAATTGTTGACATTTTAAAACCAAACCATTTCAAATACATTTTGATAACATTTTCATCAGTGGGACATCTTTTCAGAAACTGAAGGAGGGTACCAGCTGTTTTATAGCCAATTAATAAAAGATTTAAGTAGAACTCACAAGAGTTTTCTGAGATGTTGAATTACCTGTGTTGATTTTTGTACAGCTTGAAAGCTCTTAAATAAATGGGCATGCAGGGAGTCCAGTGATGAGGATTTTAAATATATCAGTAGCGCTCCTGGTGTATTCTCATCAAGCTACAATCAAAGCACATCGACTGCAGTCAACGGAGTTCTGTGCTGAAGCTCCTTTCCATCACCCCCGTGTTCCCTATTGCGAACACTGTCACTTGCTACCAGCTGATTTATGTAACTGTCACTTCAGCCACCACTCCATTACTCTGCCACCTTAGTCCCCATCATAAGTGCAGTTAGTAATGCGTTCTAGACATCTTGTGCCTGATTTTTAGTTATACTAACTTCAGAAGTAAAACGTATCCTTCAGCTGTGATCTTGTGGTACATATGCGATGATAATTGAGTTAATCTGAATGCATTATGCTATTAATAATGTCTTCTGAAAGTTCTTTCCTGGGTCTGTAATGCAATAAACAGAGGTAGCAGGAAAAAAAATAGTCCTGGTCTTGCTTGATACATTAGGGAGGAAAATGAAAAAGCTGGGTGGGTCTTTGGGTTTTGAGTAGTTTGGGGAAAAAAAGATGCATGTTCCTCACTTAGATTTCCAGATTTTTCTAGAGGCTGCAAGTGAGTGAGTTCATTTCTGTCTGGAGAGTGTTGCGGAAGATCAGCATCACACCAGTCCCACTCCTTGCCTGATTTAGTCAGATGTAGAATCATATTCTGAGCAATGGCCTTGTCTTTTACTTATACGTTGGAGCTAAAGCCAAAGGTAGTCTTACATACACCAGCTGCCACGACAGTTATTCTGCTGCGTCACCAGTCTTCCTGATTTTTTCCTTCGTATTTAAGTTGTCCTTGTAATAACATGATTTTGTATGTACTTTTCCAAAGTGTTTAATTCTTCTTGTCAGTTTATTTGTTATTAAGTGATGTGGGGAGAAAAAAAAAAATTTTTTTGAAACAATTTTTAAAAGAACTGACTGAGATGGAAACTTCCCAAAAGCCCAAATACCTGATGTGCACACATGGGCCATTAAATTAACTTTTTATACTTAAACAACTGCAGCAAATATTTGGATGTACTGCTTCTGCCTCTCATTTATGATTGCAAAGAGGAGGAAAGGTGTAAGTTTGATTTGCTGAAATCTGTTAATTTGGCTGAAAATACATTTAAACTAGAAAAGGTAACTCTTGTATTTGTTTTAGGTCTTAAACATGTCTGAAGAACTTGCTCTTTTGGAGAGCTGTCTCAAAGAGGCTGAGGCTGCGTCTGACAGTGGTATCGAAGAAATTGAAATTGCTGAGGCTTCCCAGGCTAGCACAGAAACGGCGATTCACTCTCTCATTGAAACCCTGAGAAACAAGGAGTTTGTGTCAGCTGTAGCACAGGTCAAGGCTTTCAGGTAAGTCAGTGCTTAAGGATTGCTTTCAGACCTGGGTTTGCTAATAGGCCTTTTGAATTTAAAGAGAGGGATAGGCACTATTCCAGGGTTTTTTTCAGCTCTTGCTAGATGTCCTTAATGAAGAAGGACAAGCACTGTTGCTTTATTACAGCTTGTTCATATACATTTTGCAATTTTAAAAAAAGCAATTCTAGTAGTACTTGTTCTTTAGAATTTAACTATCAGGACTCCACGGAAGAAACACTTCTTGTGTTTTCCTATGTCTTCTGTTCAAATGTTTGTTTGAAGAACAAGACTATTTAAACATTTTAACTACTTTTTTTTTTAATGTTTAAATCCAAATTGTGTGTTTACAGATCTATTTGGCCCCACGACATCTTTGGCAGTTCTGAAGATGACCCAGTTCAAACATTGCTGCACATATATTTCCGTCATCAGACGCTTGGTCAAACTGGTAGCTTCGCAGTGGTAGGCTCCAACCAGGATATGTCTGAGGCCAGCTCAAAGCTGATGGAACTTAATCTAGAAATTCGGGAGTCTCTACGCATGGTGCAATCCTATCAGCTTCTAGGGAAAATCAAACCAGGAATAAATCTAGTGAGCACTGGATTCTGAAAAGCTGTCATTTAGGAAAGAACTGATGATGAAGATGCTTCAGACTATTCTTGAGCACCTTTCATGGAGAAAAAAAAAAAAAAATAAAACCTCCAGCAATCCTGACAACCAACACAGTTTATTCACAGCAAGAAATTGTTTCATCAAAAGTAAAAAATCTGAAAATTGAAGTGAACATCGTATTTGACTGCTCTTTCTACACAGTAGCTGTGTGACAGTAGTATTTTTTTATTAAATTTATGTATAAAAACTACATGAAAGGAAAAGGGCTTAAATGTAATGCATACATATGCATTATTTTCTGTTGTAACAGAACTATAAATGGTGTTTGCAGTAACCGCCTCTAAAGGTTCAATCAATATCGCAGGTGGGATGAGGCTAAAATCAAGGCTGGTTTATTTTGGCTGAAGACCTGCAAGGCTTCCTGGCTTCCCAGCAGTAGTAGATCTAATCATCAACTAATACCCAGTGAGACACTTTGCAACGTCATGAAGAATGTGCGGTCAAACATGAGCAGAATGACTTACGACTGCAAAAACCGTTGACTTCTCAATGTTTTACTTGCTTTTGTTGTCTGTAACAAGGAAAGGATGTGTGTGAGTTAGAATGTATGGCTATGTGACAGTTGTTTTTTGAAGGTATGGATGATTGTTGAATAAGGTCTCAGAGCATGCTTAAAAGAGCTGCAAGATTATTTTTGAAGAAATTTTATTTTATTAGATCTAATCCTCATAGTGTGTAAATGTTAGGACATTTAATAATATTTTAAACTGGGATTTCCCAGTGTTTCTAAAAGAAATAATATATCTGTTAACTTTATTGGAATGCTGCTCAGTTCTCTGATCAGTGCTTATGTTACAAATATTGATAACAACTAACCAAAAAGTAGCTGCCTGCAGAGACTTTAAAATGTATATTAAAGATATATGCTGCCCATCAGCAATTCTCATTAGAAGTTAACTTATTTTATTCTGTATATATTCTAGAAACTGTATAGTGCAAAACCAGTATTTTTCTTGTAAATTTGTGCAATGCACTGTTAAGGCAGTAGGTGTATAAAGCTATGAGGGGAAGGGGGGTTCTCCCTATCGGTAGTCACATACTTTACTTGCAGTCTGAGTAATCTGCAGGGTTCAAAGAGTTTGAATGCACGTATATGCATCTTCATGACTCAACTTAAGCCTAAGGAATTGGGACTATACAGAAAAAAAAAAAAAAAAAAAGACTGACTACCAAAACATGCAAACAGGCAATATACTCATACTTCAGTGTCAAAGTCTGTAGCATAAAACAAACTGGATTCTGTTGAAACCAATAGCATTTTGTAAAAAAAGAAGAAAAAGAAAGAAAAAAAAGGAAAAAAAGAACACAGAAAAAAAGAATGTAGTCCCACGATTCCTGTGATTTGAAAGGAACACCCAGTATTTTTATATACATCTCCTACCCACTGTGATTTTTTTTTTTTTTTAATGGGCTCTAATTCCAGAGTTTAGAATGTAGAATTGAAATTCTTAGCTCTGCCTTTTTGGGGAAATTGGACCCCACTAGAAATGTAATTATGCTGAAATGCATTAATTGAAGGCACTGTGCACGCTGTTGGACTGCTGACAGTAGTTATTGTTATCCTAACAAGCTCTGTAACTGGTCAAGGCACATCCATAATCACTGTATTTTTTTTCCCTGTCCCTGATAAAATTGAATTATTTTGATGGTTTTGTGGTACTGTAGATGGTGTTCTTAATTATTTAATAAGTATTTACGGGGGGATGAGTAGTTTTATTTAGTGGCGCATTACACTTTTATTTCCATCATCTTTTACCAGCTTTTTTTGTAAAAATAAAAGACATTGTATCTGTCATTTTGTGTATTTTTACAAGCTAGAGTTTAAATACTTTAGCTAAACAGACTGAACACTGACAACAGAGGCCTGGGTGCCCTGAAATCATGTTCTTTCCCTTTAATGTGCTGTCAATGCAACAACATTTTCCTGTTCAGGCATCTTCTGAAGCTGTTAAAAGGATTTCCCGTGCAACTCAAACCTGAATTTATATACATAATTCCTTATGTTATACATCTTCCTCCATTTACAGTGACTAGTGGAACAGGCCCTGTGGAGCAGAATCCTGCTAGCTGACTGGTTTTGATACTGCTTTTAACTTTGTGAAGCTTTTCCAAAATGACCCATTCTCAAGTGCATCACCATACATTACCTGGTGCCAAATCTGAAGCTATGGTAAAGCCGTCTAGAAACAAGCGAAACATCGGACATCTTCCGTAAGCACTGACTGAGCCAACACATGCAAAAGAATCTCCTCCTGAAGGAGCTGTACAGGGCAAGTTCCAGAGCTCTCTGAAGAACTGGCAGCACAGAAGCTGTTCCTTTCTGCTTTGCATAATCACGTAAGTCAATCCCATAGGTCATGAGTAGCTTTCCTTATTTCTGCTGAGTCTTAGGAACCAGTGCCCATGATACACAGTGTATGCTGTCAAGGACGTGACAGAGCAGTGAAGCGGAACAGGATACAGAACTGTACTTTGGCATCGAGCAGTAAAAGCATTGAATGTATTAATGTAAGAGGAATGACATGTAGAGCTACTGCAGAACCGAGGAATGCTACAGGATGAAGGAAGGCTTGTCCAGTGCTTGCACTGCCCTCTGCTACTCCAAAGCCTCAAACCCCTGCAGTAGCTGATGAAAGCAGGGACGGCTCTTTGCCCCTGCCTGCCACTCGGAGCCTTCATCAGCTGCTTGTTTGGACCAGTTGCTCTTGAAGCACTCCATACAGTTCAGACCAGTCTGCTCTGCACCTCACCTAAGAGGAGCTGCTTTGACTGTAGTTATCAGGGATGGCAAGTCCAACCTGTGCAAAATTTCACTGTGGGCTTTTACTGATAATAATTGCATAAGCATCACTATATTCACAGCTAGTAATCCTCAAAGCAATGCTCGTGAGAGCCTCTGTATAATTAGGAAGCACTCGACTACTCATATTGCTAAGCGTTGCCATATGACCTCATACTGACATGGCACAGAGATTAAGTTCTCAAACTCATTACCAAGGTGCACAACCTCATCACAGTCAGCCTCACTACACCCATCAGGAGCAGACTACAGCTGTTAGAATGGGGAAGGCAAACAGGAAAACACCGATATTGAAGAACATTCCCAGAGGGAAATATACTTGGCCATAGACATCACAGTTGCAGCTGCAAGCTGAGGCAGACTATGGGTCGACGATGGCTGCAGAGGGGACCTCAACTGTGTTCCTCCTCAAACTGGAGACCTGCCGCTGCTCATTACTGTAACTACAGGTGAATGTAAGGCACACACATCTACAACAGAAAAGTGCGCGGCTGCAGTTGTACTTCCCAAGTTGAACAGGGCAAGGATGGAACCTGCTGTGAAAGCCTTTGAGCTGGTAAAGCAAGAGGTAACTCCTTTTAGTGGGATACAGGGGAAAACGCTTCAGGTAGAAGCATGAAATAAAACAGTACCCCATTCTGGGGGTGGCAGGTCTACTTGTTCCCAGAATGCTTCATGTTGCTATAATAATGAATGGAGCAAGACTAAATAAAATTACTTGGCAATAAATTGGTGCTGAGGCATTAAGCCTTAGCGCGGCAAATTCAAGGGGCATATTAAAGTAGAGCAGGAATCTACAGCAAGATGAGTTAAGCCTACAGCATTAACACTCAAAATGGCCATTTGCTGGTACAAAGGACAATGTTTGCCTCCCCTGCCATACGCTACCTTCCATTTTGAGATACAGGGCCACCAGGCACTGAAGCTGTTACACAGACCGGTTCCCCCCATTCCCGGTCTTAAGTAAGCTGGGTAGAGGTGTAGGTAAGTTTGTTATAGCCAAGATAAATCAGTCTTTCCAAAGAGAAGCTACCTCAAGAGTTCTGCAAAAGACTTTGTGCACTATTATGCTCAGTTTCAAAGTTAACAGCTTTATTATTCTCAGAAAAGTATGTTTTCCTCTAAGTTTATGGAACTCCTCGGCTGCAGGGTAGACAAGTGGGGTGTAGTTTTTACTAGCTTGTGATTCTGCTCAGATGGTGATGCTGTAGTCCCAGAGTCAGCATGTAACACTTTGCTGAAGCATGGTGTCCCTGCAAAGGCCATTACTACTGACAGCACCGATAGACCTCAGATAACATTATCTGGGAGTAACCACGCAACCAAACCCTAGAAGTACACCTCCTAGCTGCAAACCCAACCCCACAATGGTGCAGGAGTTTGATCCTTCCCCGATGACAGACAGCTAAACCATAACTAGATCAAACTCTTTACGCATAAGCCACTAAGTGCACAGCTCTTGTGCATCACCTGCAGGTATAGGAGGAAGCCAGGCAGATGCAGTGTCATACTTTGAGCCTTTAAAGTGTCACTTCTCTTGATAACCTTCTGGAAGTAAAGATGAGCAACTCCTTTACCAAGAGACCATAACACCAGTGACTCCCTTCCCCGGCAGTTTGTGAGAACTGTCCCTGAAGATGCATTAGTCACAAGCTTTGTCTCTAGTCTACAAGACACCAGCTTAGCTAAATGCAGACCAGCTGTACCAGTAGAAATGACTTAGTTTTTACACAGCATTTCTCAATCATTAGTGTGATGAAGAACAGGTGCAGGAGTGTCTACATGGAAGTGTGCACAGTAAGTGAATACTATTAGGTGGTTTGTTCGTGAATGATGCTCTACTACCTACTGCAGATATAAATTTGATATTGAACTGAGGTGCACGATTAGTTCAAAGGTAGGAGCAGTAACAGACATCCTTTCCCACCTGAGATTCTACAAGGCCCTGAGTCAGTCACTGCCAAGACCACAACTGATTTACAAAACATTACTTGTAGGCTCTGCCCCCATGCAAGTTACAGAAGTTGCAGTATGTGCCCTCTGAGCTGGGCATAAACCCACCTGATCATTTGAGCGTGCTTTGCCATACTTTTATTTGCATGCTTTCCCAGCTACACCTCACTAAGGACCTTCAAACAATAACAAAAAAAAAAAATCTGCTCCACTTGCAGTTTTCTAGAAGAGCCCTAAACAAAAGCAAAACAACAACAGAAAAAAACCCCAACCAACCCACCCTATCCCCACTCAGATGATGTATTTGAAACTGAACGTGCTATCGCAGGAGAGGCGTTTCCCTTTGCACCTCCCACAGAGGTCCTGGCGGTGGGGCCTCTTGGGATCCACGTGGCGCATCTTCACCGGGCAGGTGCACCGCGTCTGCTTGCAGCTCTGAGGGAGAAAGCGGCCGTCGGTGGGTCGGGCGGTCCGA